ACACTGCAGGCTTCTGACACTGATGCTGCAGATTGATTAGCCACAAATACTGTTGCAAAAAAATCCTCACAGCCGGCCGAGCTCAAAACCGAGCATGTGGAAGCTGCACATCTTACTCTTCAGCATATGGGGCCTGAGCATCGACTGTCAGACCATGGTTCGAGCATAAGCACCGCCGCTCCCTCCGCAAGAGGCCGCTCCCAAACTATGATCCTATCCGAGACTTTCGTTACTAGTAACTTCTGTCGATTTCGCTTCAAGTCTTCGTGCTTCCGGGCCACTGTACCCTGAGCTGCTGAACGGAGTGCGCGTAGCGGCAGCCCTTCACGTCACATTTCCCGGTGTGCAGGAAAACCTCGAGCTCGTGCCAACTCGCGGTCTTAGGGCTTAGAGCGTCCCTGTTGCAAGCTTCAGGTTCATGTGAAAGGGTCTAGTCTGCGAACGTGTGTTGTGTTCGTGTCCAGGCTACATAGACGAAGTGACGACGACTACTACTGCTACTACTACTGCGCCGGGACATTCGTTGCACCAAAAAGTCTCTTAACATGGATGCCATATGATGCAACTCTAGTACTGACGGACGGGGTCTGGACCATTTTCGGGACATCTGCCAGCAAGGGGCGTACGCCTACTCTGCGCCTCGTAGAATCGTAGAATTGGCTTGGGCGATCCAACGCAGAAATCGGACGCTCAAAGCACCAACGAGAGCACCCCCAGCTCAACACTCAGCTCCGAGCTGGACACACCGAGGTGCACTCGAAGTCCGGGGAGGGTCGCAGGTCGTCCTCTTCACGTCCATGATGGCTGACTCTGTCTTCATTCAAGATTTTGCTGTTCCCCAAAAGCCGTGCCTGTCCGTGCGCGAAGGAACAAAGTGCGCCCTTCCGGCATTTTCCAACCTGCGCACGGCTCTCGACTCGAGAGTTCATCCCCGCATGGCGGATGCCAGGTACAAGCAGGTGCTCAAGCACAACACGAGAGTCACCAGAGATGTAACCAGATAGGCTCTCTTGGACGTGCGCGGGAGAGCTACCGCGTACTATATATTCTCCTGCTGGAAGTACCAGTTGCACGCCACAAACCTTCAAGGGCCTGCACGGCTTCAAGCCCAAACGCTGACGATTGACAGAGTTTCCACCACTGCAGCTCGAAGATGCTTCATCAGACCTATAGGATTCCATGAAACCCTACAATGCGGAACGTAGTACCCGCCGCCTGCCAAAACTCACAGAGCCGAGTCTTCCAGAGAGGTGAGACCTGGTCTAGGTTGTAAGAGGTTCTGCATTTCGAAACTTCGGAGCTAGATCTGGAATCTGGGACAGTTTGAGGCTCAGTTCAGCAGATCGCCTTTGCTGTATTGTCCCGCTTCACGGCAAGCCTTTTGGTGGGTTTCGCCAGTGACCATGACCATGCTCAGTGCCTGAAAACATGAAGTCTCTAGAGACTCTAAAGTGATCAATCGCCATTTATGTCAACATGGCATTGGCATGATGCAAGACAAGGTAACAGCGTTGAATAGTCCCTGCGTCTAAATTCAGTTGACTCCAAAGTATTTTTGCTATGACTCGATTGCAGAAGAAGCCCCGACCCCATGCCATACCAGGGAGGGATGCAACTCACTTTGGCCCCAGTACCATGCCTTCCCACCCTGAATTTGGCCCACGACATCCGCAAACCACCCGAACGGCAAGGTCCAAACATATCCTTCCTGAAAGATGCTGCACGTTGGATGCCTTCTCGACGATTTTGCCTGTGGTCTCCTTGGGTCTGGCCTATTGACAGCCACGGTGAAGGCAGCGAGGCCCAGCTTACGAGTTCAGTCACTCTACAGTCTTAACGTAACATCACTCTATGCCTGGCTGAACCCGGGGCGGATTGAAACACAAGCAACATCCTGAATCGGGTCTCGGATGTATCTTCCGTTTCTGGGCCAAAGACCGAATGTACGATTGCAGTGTCGAAGCCCCTTGATCATCTGCCATATTACAGAGAAGCATTTGCAGCTTCGGTACTGTAGTCAGCCCGCGTGCGAAAGCGACTAGTACTTCGGATTCACCCGTCTGTCTCCACATTTTCTCTTTTGATTTGGAGACCAGCTACAGTTCAGAAAAAGCGATCTAGTGTCACTTGGCCTGGCAGACTCACTACCGGGGGACCTTGTTCTGGGCCCTCAGGCTCCCAGCCAACAGATCTCTTCTTTTGCGCTTAAGCCGACAATGTAGAAGTCCCCGATGATCCGAACCCTTCAGTTGCGGAACAACGTCCGTGGGCCTTCCCCTTTCGCGCAGCTGGCGGTCTTCCTGATGTGAACGCCACACTCTACATCTGCCAGGTCTGCATTGATCTAGACCAGAAGACACCCGTCCGAGAACCGATGTGGAAGCGCCGTGAGTGGCAATCTAGCCATCTATCGACTGTATCTGTGTACACACGCATGCATACACATGTACGCAGAATAGATATGGGACACCTCCCGCAGATTCGCGTTAGTGTGCAGGATGACCAATCTGAAATCCTACCTTTACAGGGAACGGCGTCGGCGTTTGTGCGTATGTGTGAGAGTGTGTGCGCATTGAAGTCAACAACCTGACAAACATGTAACTGATTCTTCGTACGAGCTCGAAAGTTTCCACAATTCCATGATTTTGTTCGACCATTCCACAATCCCACAGTTCCATCGAAAAACAAATGCAACGAGTCCACAAGTACTCAGCTCCTTCAGCTCAAAAATCCAGACTTCCAAACCTTCAAAATTACATATAACTCCACAAGTCCACAATTCCGAGATTCCACAGTTTCATCTGATCCGGCTTAACGCGAACTGGAAGAACACCTGAACAAATCCAAAATGATGTAGTAAGTATTTCTTGAGTTGGCAAGATCCAAACAACCGCTGTAGAATTGCATTCAATGCGGTGCCAAAAATACCTGCTTGTTGAGGTCATTCTTGCTTTATGCATTGCTTGGCTGTGTCCGCGAGGCGGGGCTGCATTTAGATATGTGTGAGACATAGCCATTACCACTACGACGACGACTGACGGTTCATTCTCGCTTCGAGGGTTTCGCTGACAAAGAATCGAAGCCCCAGCCTGTGCCGAAGTCCGACTTTGGCGGCGGTGGCACTGCCATGCACCTCAAACATGCCGACTGTAGTGACGTTGTCATAAGCTAAACGCTAAATATTGTCACAGTTCACGAAATGTGTTCTGCGACACAACTCCTTCCTCACGCTTCAACAATGCACCTGAGGTATCAACACCTACAGTGCCCCACAGGCAATGCCTTGCGGTCCAAGAGTCCATCCAACGGGAGGCCCCGCCTCCGGCAGCAGCCCGATGCTCGAGCCACTATGGGCCAGGGAACAGTTGGGTCCAGCAGTGCCCAGCCCTTACACGACCAGGGATGGAGCATGAAAGTACATTCTACGTTACGCGTTGGCTGGCTTTCTCAGCAGCGCAGAATGTCGGATCATGGGCTTTGCACGCCTACTATAGGCCGATGGTGAGCTACAGGACATTCGGAGACGGAAGATATGCAGCGGAAGACGTTGAGCAGGAATCGAATCGAGCAACCGAGCAAGTGCTCGTCTATATGCATCCGTTCCCGTCATATCGCTGCAGTTTCCTGAAGTTTGAACCGGTGCTAACTGCTAGCCTGGACTTCGTGCACGGTTGATTGGGTGCATGGATCTTCATCTCTGGTTTCCTGTGCACTCATGCTTCACACCTGCATCGACGAGAGGTCTGCCTGCTGACAGAAGGGCAAGTATCTGCCCAGCATCGGCAACTCTACTAAACAGCCCGCACGTCTGACCATTTCGGTAAAACGAAGAACGACCTGATAATCTGGACCCAGTCAGTGTATGAAACGCTACAGCATGCCACTCCAGTGTATCGTTTGGCTAAGCACACGTGGTGGCTATCGCCAGCAAACCTTTACGACTGGCTAAAACTTCTTTTCGGTTCTTGTGCTTGCTGAGTCTGAGCGTTCAGTGATACAGACAGTCTCAGACACGGCCAGAACTCACATCTTCATGGTCACTCTCAACCTCGAAAGCTGCCGCACAGATGTGAGGGACTTGAATCTTGAAGCAAAGCCCCAAGACATTGTGGCAGAGCAGACACACCCTGTTTTCAAATCCGTCCCCAACAGCAAGACAACAGCGAAATGAATGGGTGGGGACTTCGTTGGACATGTACCTTGTGAGCTGGGCCATGCCACACAGGAACGTGAGCGAAGACTAAGTCGACACATTTCTTGGGCTCCCTAACCTAGTGGTTCCCTTGCTACTTAGACGATCGCATCCTTGATCAATCACGGAACAAGTTCTGCTGCATAAGCGGCAGCGAAAACTTTCGGCCCAAATGCTAGAGCTGGACCTAGAGACCAAGAGACCTAGACCGCTTTGTTCACTCTGACATAACAGCGAGCCTGACATGCAAGCCTTGTGCACGAAACATCTAGCTGCTAGCTTTTAGATTCTAAATGGCTGCTTCGGGTGTAGCTGGGTCTAGTCGTATGCTTCAAAGTTCCCGTCCCCAGCGTCGCGGGCTTGCTTCGGCGCTGACACTCGGACGATGCAGTCGAGGCATGCGACGACGAGGCTGCTGATGTGAAACTACAAATCGAGCGAGCTTCGTGAGAGAGAACTTGTCCATCGCCGCGGCTTCCCACGAGGATTCGCGGCTCTGATCAAGACGGAGCCCGACGAGTGGGCTGATGCTTCAAAAAGGAATGCGCCACAGCGAACCAGCCCGATGTCAATCAAGGATCCAGAGTGTGAAGGGATCAGGGATCCCGGAGCGGCATTTGGGGCATGGGGTGAGTGTTTACAACGTGGCATTGGTCTCGCTGCGCGGAACAAAAGCACAGTCTGTGCTTTGCTTGCAGCCACCCAACACATGATGACACCAAGCTACATGCTAAACAACTGCACGGCTTAGAAGTAGAACACAATGACCAGCATGCGGAGGCTGTCGTTAAAATCAAACTCGGTGCCCTCACTTGCACAAATCCTTCAGCTCGCCCGGCTCGGGGCAAGGCTTGAACTTTTCGCCAGCACCGAAGGTGAACTTGCAGGCGGCCTTACCGGCAACTCGGCCAAACACAACGCAGTCCAGCAAAGAGTTGCCACCCAGGCGGTTGTTGCCGTGGATGCCACCAGCCGCCTCACCAGCGACATAAAGTCCAGGAATGACTTTGCCCGACTTCTTGTCAATGCACTCGGCGTCCACGGTGCACTCGAGCCCACCCATGCAGTAGTGGATCACTGGAGTAATGATCGCCACGTAGAAGGGCTCGGTAGGCACCTTGGAGCCATCGATGATGTTGTGGAAGAACTTCTTGCCGCTGCCCGTCTTGCCGCTGGGCTCGTCCCAGGTCTTGCCGGACGGGTACGCAGGGAACGGGCCACCATCGGGATCCTTCTCCTGCTTCTTTGCCGCCTCGAAGTGCTTCTGGTGGGCATCCACGATCCTCTGCAGGGGGACGCCCATGTCTTTTGCCAAGTCCTCGCCCGAGGCGTAGAACTTCATGACACCGCGGCCGGTGTAGTGCTTGGCGTGCCAGATGATCTCATCGGCTGCAGCCTTGTTCAAACACAGGCGGAAGGGTGGCTTGTTCTTCCACATCTCTCCTGTGACATAGTCACGTCGGCCCAGCTCGTTGCAGAAGCGGTCGCCGTTGGCATCCAAGACAATGCCACCAACACCTCGAAGGGCCTCCGCGGCCAAGAACTTCACCTGGGGATGCATGAAACCTCCGTATCCATCTGCTTGTCCCTCAACAGCGTTATCGTTTCGTTCTACTCTTATCGTTTTACAGTACTTTGGATGACTTTGAATTGGATGTGTCACATACTCGTTATCGTTTCATTTTACTCTTATCGTTTTACAAGGAAATCGATTGCTCTCACCTTTCGGACGCATCTACTGTAAAAACTGCTCTCCGTGTTTTTTATCATCCCTCACCTTGGCATCGGGATCGTCCGGTTTCACCAGACCGGTGGGGTGCACCTGGACCCACTCGAGGTCAATGGTGGCTGCACCGATGGCCTCTCCCATCTTGATGGCATCACCAGTGCAGTGCTCACCGTTGGTGGTGGGGAGATGGAGCAAGTCCGGCCGGTACGTGGCCAACAGGGAATCGGCTCCGAAGTCAGCGCCGAAACCGCCGGAGGCGAGGACCATGGGGCCGAACTCCTTGACGGTCTTGCCGGCTTTCTTGTACTCGCAGCCAACCACGGTGCCGGCATTGACGAGAAGCTTGTACACCTCCGCCTTCGTCACGATGCGAGCTCGGTTGGTCTTCTCAGCAACCTTCTCCAGCATCTGAATCAATGCATAAGTGATGGTCATTCCAGGGAACCGCTCCTTGCCGCGGTGCGTGCGGGGCTGGGAGTGCCCTCCCAGGCGCGCGACGAGGGAGAGATCGAGGTCGAACTTGTCCACGAGCCAGTCAACATCCGCAGCGCTGTTGGCGCACAGCACCTTGGCAAGCTCGGGCTTCTTCGCACCGCCCTTCAGCGTGTCCGCGATGAAAATCCTCAGAGCGGGCGAGCTCCAAAATATCCGTGCGATGCTTTAAGAATTAGGATGGGCTTTGGGTGAAAGTCTACCATGAGTTTTTAGAAGGAAACCTTGAAAGAGGCACTCAAGCACACATCAAATCTTAAACATCCCTACAGACTAAACCCTGACAGACCCCCTGTGGATCCCTGAAAAAGGAACCCTTCATCGATCCTCTAAAGGAGCCCTTAAAGGAACTTCCAAAAGCAAACCAGCCACTCCGCAGTGTCCGGGATGGACTTTCCTTTCTGAGTCTTGGTCCCAGCACCGTTGATGCCGCTGGTGGCCTTGGTGCTGTTCCCTCCGCAGAAAGAGGACTTGTCCAATAGAATGGTGCGGCCACCAAGCTCCACCACGGTGTTGGCGGCGGACATGCCCGCAAGGCCGCCGCCGACCACAATCACCTGATTGGCCGGGAAGACTGCAGCCATAGCGTCGGAGTTGCAGCGAAGAGAAGGAATCGTACAGCTTGATGCTGATTGGGCTTGAGCCAAAATGGCTTAACGTCTGAGTCTTTAGGGCTCAAGAGCTTAAAGATTCAAGGTTTCTGCTGGGAGGTTTAGCTGGGACAATGTTTCGAGGCATCTGAGTTAGGTCCTGGTTGCTTCCAAAGTGGGCATGGCAGGGTAAAGCAGACAGTATGGCAGGCAGGCTGCCGAGGGAAAACAAGCTGATGCATAAGGCGCCGTCTCGCCACGATCGTTCAACCTTACCAGTGGGGGTGACAAGAATGGAGGGGAGAAAGGCAGAAAGCACGCAAATTGCTGCAGCCACCCTCATGTCTTTCCGATGTTTGTAGGGACCGGTAGCTGCGGGTAGTGATTTGCTAGAAAGAGACCACTTTTGGTCGCACATTCCAAACAGCTGAGGTGACCACCCTAGCTTGCGGACCTTTATCTTCCCACCCCGGATCGCCTGACCAATCGAGGAGTTGGTGCTTGTGCACATGCAAAGTGTCAGCACACGGAAACAAGCCCTACGAACGGCGCTGCCTGCAACGGTTCAACGCTAATTACCGCTATCGCTCCTCCTCTTGTGTCGAGCCTTCTCGGGGTCAGACCCGAAATCTGCAGAAAACTCTGATTTGGGGAGCCTCACTTTGCATAAGCACGGAATACGATGGCGTGCAGGGAACCTCGCAGTCTCAAGATGCCTCGTGAAATCAAGTAGCTTGCATCAGCTCATGTTTCGGGTTCAGCGTGTATGCTGCCAAGGTGCAGTGCGAATACTGGATCCCCGCCACCTCGTGTCTGCGGCTTTCACTGCTCGGGGTCCAGCCCTCCGACGTAACTTAAGGTGGAAGCAACTCAGAGCGACATGATGAACCCAGCATGCACAAGCCGTCCACTACCCAAGCGAACTCATCACACAAGACTTTCCTTAGACACGGAGCTCGGCAACATTCGGAAACTCTGAAGTCATGAGCCCTAGCAAACTAGCATTTCCAGGGGACCCCAGGAGGGTGTCACATTCACGAAGACGCCGAAGGTGAAAAGACCCAGCACCTTCCAAAACAGCCGAGCGCCCAGCGAGACCGAGCCCCTCTTGACTACCACGATAGTCACAGTGGCTTTGAGGAAGAGTCTTATTAATGTAGATAGCCGGAATAGGCAGACCCATGTCCCTGAAGACTGCACGATGGACGGCTTCATTATCACATGTCGTCGAGCACTGTACACATGCTACAGACTGTACAGAGCGCTAGTCGACAGCGGCTTAGCTGCTGTATTTGTTGACACTCGCGCGTCCGACGCTCAACTTGCGCAGGAACTATCCTGCTACAACTGTTGCTTCTGCGCTGCCCCAATCCCCAAGATCTCTCTTGGCTTTGTGAAGCGGCTGAACAGCGGACAAGATGTCCACGTCCTCTTGGAGGCTGTCTTTAGCAAACTGCAGGAGATCCTCGTGCGGAAAGCGAGAGATCAGCTCAAGCACGGCGGGTTTGGTGGCATACCTGGTCGGGAAGCCCTGGCCCAATGCGAGCTACCATTCGGCACGGAACATCTAAGTTCGAGTCGAGATGCCTCAAGCTCGTCTTGTCTTTCTCAAAGGCCATAGAGACCACATCAGCATCGGCAAGAAACTCCGACCTAGTAGCAAATGCATTTTAAAAGCTCTAGACAGCCCTCAGCTCTACAGGGCCCCCACCTGGCGAATCTCAGGGCATGAGGATTCTCTCGGACAGCATCGAGCAGCAAGGCCTCTCGCAGTATGTTTGAAGCCGGAAACCCGACTTTCGTAGGGACTAAACTAGCTCAATTGGCTTCTGAACCATCTGATACCTAGAGCTAGTATGATATTGCTGCGCGATGTGACGATGTGGTTTGGTCTCTCGAAAACAATTCGTCTTTGTCTTGATGGCCACGTACTCCCGTCTTTCGTGCAGGTCCCACTTCCCATCGCTGCCCCAGCCTTGAGCCCGACATACTTCGCAGCACGAGGATTCTGACCGACGGCGACCAGGACCACCTGTCAGGAGCAGCTGAGCTGGGATGTGCAGCCAAAAAGTCAAAATGATGTACTAATTCTTTGATGGCGCTTGTTACGAACTATTCTCTCTTTCTTTCGCCAGGCTTGAGCGCTAGGGGCTGCCCGCTGTTGGCTGGGCGCACGGTATTATGTGCGACAGGCTACGACTACAAAGCAGTTGGCATCCAAACCGACACTCAACAGTTGACACTCGAATACATGAAGACCCCTGTGATGCCTGCACTGCCCTTCGAGCGGCTCGTGGACAGGTTTCCTGCCCCGGCATGCCTCGCCCCTGATTCTTGACAGTCTGAGGGCCCAACAGGTGTATGACTTTGTAAGGCATTAGGCTGTCAGTGTTGGGGTCCGGCCTCGCGTGGCTCTGCTCGCTGTACGTGCCTACACGACGTGGCACAGTGGGCCTCTTGGAAACAACAGGCACGAGTCTACTTAGCCTAGGTACTGTTCGTGGACTTCACCACCGCCCCTCGTACAGAAAAACACCTGTAACAGTTCTCTCTCTCCCTCTCTCTCCCCAATCGCTTTGCTTTGCTCCGGGCTCTGTCTCTCTCTCTCTCTCTCTCTCTCTCTCTCTCTCTCTCTCTCTCTGTCTGTCTCTCTGCCGATATGGACAATTACAACACCGAATTGCTAAAACCATTGCAATGCCTTACTATGGTTTCGTAAGAAACAGACTTGAGGCTAAAGACTTCTGCAACGACTTTGGCGATGGCCGGGCAAACTTGGTGCTGTAGTCTGGACTCGAAATAACAGTCATAATTGCAATGCTGACAGAAGTAATGCTGCAAATGCTTGCGAAGATCGCAAAAATATGCAAAAAGTACAGTAAGACTCGTCATCATAACCCCATTCCTTCTAGCGTCGAGTTTATGCTCTCCGTGTTTGCATTCAATACCGGCCCATGCTCCCGTCTCTGCGTTGGCTGTTGGAGTACAAAGCATGGACTTGCAGCCCTGCCCCAAGTTTCAGACAAGTCAAAAGCGAACTACCAACAGGATCCAAGAGGTATTGTGAATCATCACCTTTCCGGGAACGTCGCCTGTCGGACCTTAAACTGCGCCGGCACAAAGCGGAGCGCCAGACCGTTCCTTTGTTCCGGATTCGGAGGTAAAGAAAGGCGCGCGTAGTTACATACATGTCAATGTGGTGAGCATGAATGTCTGTGTGCATTGTATGTTTGAGCTCTCCCCAGGGCAGAATGTGGCGTCGGGATTTCGTGATTCTACTGGGTCACTAGGCTGCGACGCTTTGAAAACACACTGCAGGCGAGATCTAAACTGCTAAACATAAGCTTCTCCCTGCAGTCGAAATCATTCGCAGGCCTCAAAACAAGCCTGACCTGCTATGTGTCTTAGAAGCTCTGGAACTCATCTGGCCCCCACAGATTTAGGGATTCCTGCGCTGCATTGTGACCCTTTACGTTTGTGATCCGAACTTGTCCAACACAAAGATTCTTGGCCACGGCTGTCAGCGTCATGGGCTCCGTGATGTGATGTGCTTTGCAGAATTCCAAGGCCAGTGGGTTCCTCGGAACAGTCGGCAGACTCTTCCCCCCATGCCGTTAAGCTAGAGACCTGTTCCTCACCCGTGGCTGTTGATCAGTGAAGGGGAAGACACTCGCTGTTCGGGTGACATTGTGCACAGTGTTGGGAAGTGCAATCTGCCAGTTCACGGCTTTTAACCGTGTGAAGTCTGCATGTACTCATGCATTGGTGTACAAACAGGAAAGGACTACGTTCACAAGCATGAACATAAGAAAAACATTGGAAAAAGAGAAAAGCTACGCCGCCAAGCCAGCAGTGCTATGACGCTTCACTGTCGAGGCCTGATCACTTTACCCAACGGTTGCTTCTGTAGCTCAGTAGCGGAGATATACACACCAAAACATACGCCTTTGAGAAAAACACAGCTGGAACAATATGGACACATACAAGTCATGAATATGTTGCATCTGTATGTGCGCATTGCATGTTGTTCATGCCTAATCATACAATCCAAACCAGCCTTCCTCGCTTCTCGTCGTGTCATGTCCTGCCACTACCAACTTGTGACGGCGGCAGTGGCTGCACCAGTCACGACGACAATGTCAACCACGACCGCAAACGCTACCAACGACATTCGCAAAATGATTCAACACACGACAGGTCCAGACAGAACAAGACCAGTGTGGCATAAACGGTAGTTACTTCCAAGCCAGAGAAAGGCCAACCAAGACGCAGCAGTACAATTAAAACTGAGGCCACTGAGGAATCAAGCAACAAGGTCGGTACGACAGCAAGACAGTTTTTGACCTGTACTGTCACAACCCAAATTTCACACGAACGTGAATCGGTCGTGCCCTAGTGAATAACCCAGCCGCACTGTTCTCATTCCTGAGATGAACCAAGTGACTAGACTGACTAGACTCGACACACTGCTTTTGTAACCATGCAGAGCATGATCAATGGTCAAACAAACCGAACAAGATCGGAACCCACAAACGAAAATTTGCTTTTGTCGGCGAAGTGACAGCAGGTAAATGTGGTAAATTTCTGGCTTCAGCTCGGCACCAGCACGCCAGATAATGCAACAGCGCCGGAACAAAGTCTGTTGTTGTCCACGAACACATCTGCAACGAATCGCATCAGAACGAAGCTGAAAAGCAGCTACAGGACAAGTAGCAAGAAATCAGGTTGTCCGAACGGCCACTGCTCAGATGCTAAGATATCAGTCTTGGCGAGAGACTTTGCTCAACTGCATTGAACGCCAAGCCAGTCAACATGCTGAACAAAACCACTGGAAGTAATCCGGTGTAAAAGCAATCACAGGAACCAACAATGATAGAAAGCGCAGAGCAATGTCCCTCGGTTCTGTCGAGACAATTCCTATAATGTTTGAATACTCCGCTGGTGATTCAACAGGACCGCCTAAACCTGCGGAAGACGAATACGAGCCCAACCTCGGGATGGTCCTGTCAAGCCTTTCAGGAACTCCTTATAAGCCCTCTCATGTAGGGCCTGAATCACTAGAATGAGCCCAAAACCCATTATACTATAACTATAATGAGGAACCCCCAAAAGAGCACAAGTAATTATTAAGGCCCCTCTAGGCAACTGGGCGTCTGTTCAACGGCAGCCGAAGCAATCTTGCTGGTCTGTCGGAGAACACGTTCCAGCAGCAACCCGTTCTTCTCCTGAGAGGTGCTTTCCGTGCCCAATAGATTTAGTTCTGGAGCGGGGGGCATTGATGGCATTTTCGGGTCAGTCTTCGAAGAAACGGCCGAGGGACTTCAATTCCTGGCCAGCGCATTGTGTCACTCATCATCAGCATTTGACCAAGACGGGCTCAAGTCCGCCGAGCTTCGATGTGCGGCATCAGGAAGGCTTCGTCTGCACAGGACCGCCCCAAGCACTCCAAAGCCCTCCATCCCAAACATTCCCGAAGTTTTGCTTGTAGTTCATGACTACCGTAGGGCTTATTCGAAGATGACAGCATGCATCGTGCAACCAGCTGGGGCTAGCAGGTGAGAGTAAACTAGATCAGCTAGCCAGACTGGGCTAGAGCTGCTAGGAGCTTGGGCACAACTACTGTCAAGCAAGACCCCAACTGCATGGACGCAACTTCCTGACATGCCCAGCAGCTGCCCAGAAGTTCCGGGTGTAGGAAGCGAATCATGTCCGGATCTGCATCAAGAGCCTGCGGCTGCATGAAGCTACCATCCCGTCACATCCTCATTCGTGGTCAGGTGGCTTTCCAAGGATGAAACATGGAACAGCCCGAAACGCTCGACCCAAGTGTGGTGCGCTGAAATCCTGGAAGTTCGCATTCCGCCTTTTGAAGAGCTTGCCCCGCCGTCGCACAATAAATGCACCACGCTGACCTGGACCCTTCCTGCCCACAATGCCTTCGCGGCCAGCTTCGGATTTTTTCGTGCTGCCTCTGCCAGATTGCACGTCGGCGTCTTATTTTTTGCTAGTCCAATCTCATATTACTGCCAGCCGAGAAGGGCACAGACTGTCACAACGGATGGCTTGCGAAAGGCCCGTGGGAAGGGAATGCTCACAGCGACGCGGAGGATACTCCCAGGCCTTCGCGGCTCGGGCCAATGCAAAAGGGTGGCTTGCCATGGCCAGTTCCACTATCTCTTCATCCTGGGCGGTCATAGGCATCGCATGGTACATCAGGGTGCTGGTCATGAACCATGAGCCACGGTACATACGTACGTGTGTACCTGTGTACATGTACATGTGTGTACGTCTGTGTGTGTGGAACACCTGTTTGCCAAGGAGGTTTATCAGTCACGTTTGTTTTTTAGTTTTTGCAGGCGGACGTGGCATGAGATCAGGGACCACGTCCAACGAAGCTACCTGATCTCACGGGAAGCAGAACTTGGCCAGCTCTGTGTACCTGCAATAAAATGCTAGAGATTGCAGCAGAATGGCACTGGGGCCAAGCCACAAACCTCATATCAGTGCAGTTTTGTTTGAGGCAAGATGTCAAGCCTAAACCTTCTTAGAATCCTAAACCTCTGCATGTACCGACTGAGAATATTGAGATTCCTATCAGTCCACAGGGAGGATTGCACGAGTGTGCTCTAGACGGCTTTCGTCGATCGTGTCGTCTACGGCAGGGTTGCCTACTAAATGGCCCTGATCGGCCCAGTTGCAGTGAAGGACCCTGATCGGTCCAGGCCATGATCGGCTTTAAATCAAACTCCGACCTGTTGGTCTCGATTCAGCAAATACTCTTCGGAGTAATCATGATCTTCGCGAAAGGCTTGATTGCTTAGTTTTCGACGGGACTGAGCATCATCCGATGCACTTTTCCACTGCATTGAGACCATTTGGCCCAGGCTCTGTTTCAGTCGTCAGCTTTCTTGCTCAATTCTCTTCTGGACAGACTTCGAACCCAATCCGCAGCCATGGCCTCTTGGGGGTCATGGTCCACCAGCGAGTTTCCAGCAACAGCTGGGGCAATCGACAGCAGTGGTACGGCAAAGACTGGTCAACTTCCGACCAGCACCAGTGGAGCAAGGAAAACACTTGGGATTCTAAGAATCCCGAGTCGGAGTGGAAGACTGTAGCAAGTCCCACTTATCAATCTGCTACGCTGCCTTCGTCGTTTGTTTCTGATCACCAGCATTGTGACAAGACGCCTTTAGGCAAAGGGGCGCATGTTTTGCAGAAGCTGGCGCAACCAACAGAGTGGTCCCGGAAATTGGGCCTAGCCGGCCGCGATGTCACTGACATCCGTGCCTATGAGCTTTCCCACCGAGGACTGCGTGATTTCTCGTTTAAACTTTTGTCAGAGGGGCGACATCAGAGCATCGTCTGGGCTCGAAGTGACCCAGAGTCTGTGCTCATGACAGCTCTGCTCAAGAAAATTCGCGAAAGAGGTGTTGCTATCGATGATGCTGTGCACCGGACAAACATAAAGAAGCGATGCGTTTTATGGAACCGCTTGCGCAAGATCTACGGAATTGCATTCTGGCCACGGCACCAGTCAAGAATTCGGATGCACCTGAAGAGTTTGCCAAAGCCAAAGCAAAATTGGCTGAGCATGGCATTGCTATGTCTCCTTTAAAGTGCAAATCCGCTGAAGAGTCTGAGAAAGAATCGGACAAAAGGGCGAAGCCCGCAATGCCGATTGCTGAGCCGGATGCCCAGAGTGATGCTCAAAAGCTCCTCGTGGATCCCCAAAGAAAGCTGGATACTCGTTGCAAAGGAGCCACCGATGACCATGTCATTGAGTGGTTGACAACCTACAAGACCAAGCCAGAACTTAAAGGCTTATATCAGCAGCTGGTCAAGTATGTACAGGTTGTTCAGAAACTTCTCGAATCAGAAGTTTCTAAGTTCTAAGGATGAGATGGTGTCTGCTGCAGTCGCCTTCGGACTTGATTCGACGCTTGCATCTCGCCTGTCGGTTGAGAATCTTTCCACGGCTATAGCTGTTGCACAATTTGAAGCTGCCTGACTAGCCGTGCAATGTCAGCATATGGCTGGCTCAGAAAAGCATGCAATCAAAGAACAGATATGCATGCTAGGAGAAGCTGTGACATTCTTTCTTCATCATTGTCCTGGCTTCAACAAAGAATCTGCATTGTGGGCCCAAGGCTCGCTACATTTACTTCTTCTGTTTTACTCTCAAGAGGGCTCACAAGCCTCCTATGCTGAAAGCATCAGACAGAAGCTCCAAGGTTTTCGGGTACACCCGTCAACATATACCTGGCCGAGATTTCAAGCTCAGAATGCGGTTTACATGAAAGCTGCTGTGGACTGGCGCCATTTTTCAAGTATTGAACATTACAGGCAGCCTTCCACGTTCATGTACATTGGCTCTACGAGCAAACCAGTTTTCCGATGAGAGTCTAATTGGCTCTCCGTTGCCAAGAAACTGTCCGGAGGAGGAGAAGCTCAGGCAGACCTAGCCATCCGGTATTGGGTTTCCAACCACTGTATAGAAGATTACACGTTGTTTCTCGTTACCCTGCGCTCAATCTACACAGAAGAATGGGTTACCGAGCACTGTTTGATTGGGATGCGGCAGCCCAGGCTCAACCATCCCTATATCACGTCCTTTTTGAAACGTAGGGCACTTGGCTTTCGGCCCAACAAGAGAGTTCGGCATAGTGTTGCATCTCGGTTCGGGCTAAGATTGTGGAGAAAGCTTCGTAAGAAGCTCCACAGGCAACTACAGCCTATACCTTTTCAGCTCAAGCATAGGTCGGCATGGGAGATACTTTTGAACCTCACGTGCTTCAGTCGAGCCCCTTTTGAAGAGGCGAAAAAGCTGCGTAGTGACTGCTATCTTCCGGATGAGATATATTATCTCATTCGCTTGAGCAACTGTTTGGAAGAACCGGGCAAGAGCAAGGCCATGAAGGTGCTCAAAAGTGTTTGCAAGTACCCGAACATGTCCTGGCCTACGGCTGCTCTGGGCCTGCATTTGAAATTCACTGCTTCCGCCAAGCTTCGGCTCGGAAGTATCAAGATGGATCAGACAACAAGTGTTGGAACTTAAATCCATTCTGATACCCTTTCACCTTCCAAAGACTTCGGCACAATTTCAAGGAATGGGACAAATGGTTGCAACATCACAATGTAGATGAAGCACCATGTCCCTGCCATCAGTACGTACAGGTAATGCCAGAGCAGTGCCTCACTCGAGGCCATGTCGTGGCAGGCATTGAACAGTTAGGAAGCTTGCACAGCTCCTTTGACAAACTCGGTCGGAGATGGCAGTGCTTCTTCGGCCTTTTTTCCTTCGCAGCATGTACTTTTCAAGCATAACACTCGAATGCTTGCATCTTGGAGGAACAAACATTGTCTTCCTAAGGGTGTACAACACGACCCCTCAAACTTTTCTCGAGCATCAATGGAGCAAGCATCTTGAACACCTGAGCCATGAAAAGCGACTGGCGTGGAAGGATGTCTCTGCAGCTCGCCATCTCTTGCATCGAGAATTTATTGTTCATTGTGAAGATCATGAACCGAATCATCTCATGATCTTCTGTCCCAAGTTTTACCTTCAAGCAGCCATGAAGACATGGCAGGATCCAGAAGTTTTTGAACCTGTTCAAAGGAACAGTGGAATAGTAAAGTTTTGAAACAGATCCCCAGATTGCTGAAAAGACGATATCGCTGGGGTATCAATGCCTCTGGCACCTTACCTGTTGGCTTTGTGTTTTTGAAACGCAAGAAGGAGTTTTTGAAAGGGAGGACGATAATATCGTACTCCAACAGCTGCATCAAGAAATGATTGATTGCAGCTGCCCAAGCAATCCTTCTGATGGTTCGATTGGTGTGGCCTGAAGCCTTGGGCTTGGCAACTACACCACAATTATGGAAAAGCTTGCATGAGTTTCTTCGTAGGACTCCTACAGCCGTTCATTCGGCTGGGGTCAACGATGATCTCGTCGGTTTTTTCAACTCAGTTCCCCGACAGCAGATCTTGGACTCGTTGTCCATGCTTGTACAGCTGTATACGGACAGAGAGTACCCTCCGCATATATCAGTTTCTCTAAAAAGCAGCCCAATTGTGAGTCTGCTTGGCCTGGTAAACCCTTGGCGAAAGGTGCCAAGAACATCCGATTTCTTCATGTTCCTGATTTGTCAGCCATTGTGGCGACCTCGTTCCAAGCAGGAGTTTTTACCACGCTAGGTTTGCTGTTTCGCCAGCACCGAGGCACATGTATAGGCAACCAAATCAGCCCGGTACTCAGCAGCTTGCCAGTGGTTCAATCAGAATCACTGGAAGAAGAAAATGGAAGCAGTTTTTGCAGTCCGCTCAATTTTTCAACAACCAGGAGTCGGAACTGTTTGTCTGTCGGTATGTTGATAATCACTTGGTAGTGTGCGATGAGACTTTTCTTTCGCATCAGTGCTTGAAAGATTTTCAACATCTCTCTTTTTACGGAGGGACTATCCAGCTGGAAGAAGTTACCAACCATCAATTTCTGGGTTTCCGGCTCAACACAGCTAACAGGACTGTGACCTACCTGCAGCCAGACAAAGCCTGGTCAATCAGGAATCCTTATTCAGCAGGAAGCTGGTCCAGTCGTGTGTCAGGCTATCTTTCTCGCAAGGCCTTGATTGTACAGTATGCCTGGCCTCCTAGCCAAAGACACAACCAATTGCAGGAACTGAGAGATTTGTACATAGCACGCGGATTTCCTGCAGAAGTGTTGCATTAGAGGGGCTGTAAAAAGTTTTGCAGCTTCCGGTGATGGTGCATCCGTCAGATAGCCTTGAGAGTGCATTTGCTGAAAGCAGCCTTTTTCTAAGTGCTCGGCCTACAGAAAGCCCCAGCACCTTCTTGACCAACAAATGTGAGCCATGGCTTCTTATGTGTTTCAATTTTTCTGTGGCGACACATGTCACATTAAGCAAGGGCGGATCCAAAGGCTCCCTCCGACCCACAAAGGGCAATGCTGTCGCTGCCGGCCCCGTCTCCGAAGACACCACCTCCGCGGCCGAGACCTACCAGAGCACCGGGCACAGCTATCAACCCAGTGCATTTGCAGCCTCGCCATCGGGAAGATGGCTCTCGGCCACGTCGTACCCGAGGCCGCTCCGGTTCTAGCTCGCCAGCTCGTCGGAATGTTTCTGAAAGATCTCACCGGCGTCGGCGCCGAAGCAGAACACCTGCACCTGCCAACCCTAGAAGGGAGGAGCCCATGTATCCACCAAAAAATTGGCGACCAGCCCCGGCACAGATGGTTCCACCACCACGGCCGGTTTCGCCCTCGGCCTCTGCACCGTCGGCTCCTTTTCATGCTCCTCCTGGTTGGTTTCCACCGCCGCCTCCGCCACCACCTGATTTTAATCAGCAGAGCCCCGGCCCACAGCACACCAGCGTTTCAGCACAAGCGTCGGGGAGCCAAGCTCCAAGACCGGATTTGCGGAAGCCAGCTGTGCCACATACACCCTTGGCGTGAAACGTCGGAAAAGATGCATTTTTCCAAGCGTGCAAAACCAGGGGCCCAAGCTGCTGATACTGGTGTTGCCGGGAGCACGACAAAGTCGTCCAAAAGCAAGCCGGCATCCTCCAATCAGTCCAACTGATTGATGAGCAGTTTTTTCGGGACCTCATGTCAGCTAATCTCAACGAGGTTGAGTCCCAATTGGAGATTCAGCTGCAAGGCAAAACTGCCGTGGATCATATCCCGGAGGGAATGTCTACCCTCAGCCAGTATCTTCTTTATCGACAGCAACTTTTGTCTTCTCCATTTCCGGACCAATGGGTTATGGCACCCTGGCAAGCCTTGCGACACAAAGCAGCCAGAACAGCTCTGATACGCAAATAACAGTGCCCTCTTTCGTCTCTCAAAGATCCTGAGAGACAACGCTGCGCACAGTTTTTGCTGAGCTTGTTTCCTGGGCCGGTGTCAGACAACACCATTGGGCGAGAAGAACTCTTTGGCTTTGTGGATTGCATTTTGCAATCCAGGCTCAATCACGAGAGGCACTTCGAAGAAGGTGCCTCTTTGTTTCATGATGTTGAAGAAAATGTTGTTGGTTATCGATTTCGGTGTACAGGTTTTCCTGGCCCACCTCTGGCCCAACAAAATTGGCATCTTTGGGCTCATGCCACTACCAGAGAAGGGGCCACAGGAATTTTGGCCACCGGCAAGATTCTGCGCTAGGCTTGAATGTCATGAAGATACGTTTTCTCTTTATGGGAGAAGCACGACAAACCCCAATTGGGGTGCAGGTGTTGTACAGCTTGCATGCAAATGTTACCACTCCACCAAGATTTGTTCTGGAGTGGTTTTTGCCGGTCTTTTGCCCAGTGCCCATGTTAAGGGCAAGACTGCATGCACCAGATATAAGAACAATCTGGCGAGATTATATCTCCCGGTCCACAGCTGTTCATCGGACAGAAAGTGGGCTGTAACGTTTGCAGCAGCTCGCATTGATTTTATCTTTGTTCTTTCATTTCAGAAAGGGCCAAAGCTGACTATCATCAACAGGACCGTCGGCAGACGCGCAGAAGGCCCAAAGCTGTTACAAATGAGCCTGCTTTGGCATTGGCAGATGGACCCACAGATGAAACTTGGGGCCAATGGGGAGAAATCCGTGCCCCAAAAGTTGAAGAAGTGGAAGAGCCTGAGGCTGAAAACCTCATGGCAGCATCCACGACTTTTGCCAGCTAGTTTCAACCTTTTCGGCCTTGCCAAATCGTGCTTGAATCTAGTCTTGCTGTCAGCCAAAAGAAGCTCTCATTGCGTCTTTTCAGCAAGTGACATGGCTCGGGGCTAAGCCTAGGACCCCTTCTATTTTTCCTTTGCAAAGGTCGGGACTCAGCTTCAGCCATGGGCCACCACCAAGCTGAACCTGCTGCTGTCTCGCCGCCTTCGTCTGCTTCTTCGTGGCACTCTGCCTTTGATTTCACGTCTGAGCGCGCACCTTCCAAGAGCCAGAAAAAACGTCCTAAGGAGACTTCTAAAGCATCCACTATTGTCAACGGCCCCCGACCGACCGATAGATTATGGTCCAATCTTTCAGGTTGTTTCCAGTTTGAAAGTTCCTACCAAGTCAGTTACAGAGCAGCCACAACCGTATGAGTTTCGTGGCCGAGCTGCAGCTAAGGTGCAAGCTCGCAGTGGATACCGTGGACATGCCACTACGTTCTTAACCATCTGTGCCCCGGAAAGCTTATCGCAGATGAATGTGGTTGCAGCAGAATGGCACTGGGGCCAAGCCACAAACCCAATATCAGCGCAGATTTGTTTGAGGCAAGATGTCAAGCCTAAACCTTCTTAGAATCCTAAACCTCTGCATGTACCGACTGAGAATATTGAGATTCCTATCAGTCCAGAGGGAGGATTGCACGAGTGTGTGTGTGTGTGTGTGTGTCTGTGTGTCTGTGTGTCTGTGTGTGTGTCTGCGTGCGCGCGTCGGGGTGCACTGTTGCGAAGCTGCTCACCGCAGTTCAGACTCCAGGCCTGTAAACCCTAAATTCTGGTGGAGCTCACGGCATGTTAGTACTCTTACCACCAGGTCACTGGACGTGATATCATGAGAGATGCAGGACCAGGGCACGGCTAGCAGAGCTCCACGGACATGGCGCAGTGCCTTCCCGGTTTGTCTCACAGCCGCCAGGACAAGGTCTCGGTCACGCTTGAACTCCTGGTCATAGAAAGGGAAGGTAGTACAACGGTTCTCGAGCATTGATATACTGGCATAGCATAATAACACATATGTAACGTTCGTTAAAGAGACGCTTTGAGAAACTCTGGGCTTTGTAGATTGAACCCTGCGGTGGTTCCAGCACTGGGCCGACCGCGCGATTTGCTTGATGGCAGAAAGCCAGAGCGAAACTTTGGATCCGATCCTCGGTGGCGTAAGCGAGGGCTTCTCCATCAGACATAAGCATCACCTCAGTTGCTTGGGGATTCAGGGGACAGGCTGGAGGAGTGTTGCTTTGCGGCCCACTTGCCGACCTATGAAACTGCACAGAGTGGCACCCCACCGAATGGCCTTGTGGGTAGAGATATTGCTGCGCTTTGCTGCTACAAAGAGTCTCCATGAAAAGAAAGAATCAGTATGACCACTGCGGCACTGCTGAGTACAAGTCACGCCTCATCGGCCATACCCAGAGATTTCCGGACATAAGACAATTTACGTCGATAATCTCATTTTGACACACTAGAGGTGGACGAAATGCTCCTGTTTGACTACTATGGCTTTCCTGCTGAGCAGCATAATGAAGCTTGCCACCTCGACGGGTGCAACATAAACAACAGAACATCCCCAGCGATGTGATGCACTACTTGCTGGCAATGACCTTTCTTTGTTTGAAGAGCAGCCTGTAGCTTGTCCCGATCGGAAATGGGCTCCAAGTTCTGGTGGTCCTTGGCGGTTCTACTCTGGCACCAACTGAATCTACCAGTTCAGGATTACGGCAAGTCCACTCGACAATCTGAAGCAAGAGGCCACAAACAGCCGCTGGCAGCTGCTACCGTAGCACCTAGCTCTGGCAGCCTTGCTGGACCATAGTTTGACGTTGTCCAAAGCCAAAAGCCGGGACGGCAAAAACAACCTCCAATTGCGTCAATTGCGAGCAGCTGCACCAATGCAGCCAGAGATCGATGTGAACAAGAGCCACCTCAGCATCTCTTTCACAACGCCATTGCACTCCCTGGGTCGTACTGCTGCTGGCAGGATGGATCACTTTAGATCAGGCACCCAACGGAGCGCTGAGCCTCGCACCTCAGCCTCCGGGCCGTCGATGACCTCGCTCAGTCGCTGAGCCTCGCCTCATATGGTGCCGTTGTGCCAGGTGCGTGGTCAACTTTCGTTTTGGTAAGGGATGGCCATGGCGGCCATGGCCATGGGGCCCAGGTATTCGCCAACGCAGCTGACTCAATTTGTCATGTCAGTGGTCTGGCCGTACGCGATCCTCTCATTCGTCAGCGCTCCGTGATAGTGCGTGACACCGCTGCCATACCAAAACGACGCAAATACCCCTGCTCATGCACCCGGACATACACGGTACAGGATTGTCATCAGATCGCCCTCCACCTGCCTAGGGGTTGCTGGTCATGAAGAAGACGTTGTCGTCTCCAGTGCAATCCTGACGGAAGGATCGGCTGCACACTCTGCCAGCCATGCAATGGATGCCCGTGCTCGGACAAGCCTGCTGTCGCTGCTGCAAGATGAGCTGAGAATGTAGCTAGGTACATCGCCAGTTTTAGCGTGGCTCGCTGCTGCCACCCTCCTGTTCCAATTTCACGGTTCCCTCAATTCTGCGCTGCTTAGCAGGTGCACGAAGTGATGAACAGCTTCTGCAAAGCACAAGCCAGACTGGCTCAAATCGACTGCCCGGTTGCAAACCCGTACCGAGAAAGACAATACTGACGTGAAACACGGCCACATCACATGGCCTTCATGCAAGTTGGTCCGGCTGTGCCTGTTTCTTTCTTGATCGCCATGATCACATCAAACACGAAAGACCGTCTGTCCTCGATTTGGTGTACCGCTGGACATGTTTGCTTGGCAACAAGTGGCCGAGCAAGAAAAGATCTTAAAGTTCCTATCAGTTTTCAGTGAAAGACTTGACGAAGTGCAAGCCACGACACCATGTCCAGCTCTGTCACGACACGGGAGGAGAGCCCTCGCAGAATCCGCACCTCGAGCCACCAGGTACAATGCTACAATGACAAGGCTACGGGCATCGAGCTTCTCAACATCTGAGTGTTGCATTCGTACGACCTCTACAGCGAGATCTGAAAACAACGTGCCTGACCAAGACAAGACACTTTTATTCTGTCTTCCACGCTTGCCATGGCTCTGACAGTCGGAGGCTCGGGCAATCTTATTTTTTGAAGCAATGGACCTCTTCCAATCTGTGCGAGTTTGAACTGCAACTTTGGCTTGAAGTTCAGTTTCGGTTCATCGGCTTTGATGTGAGCTTAAGGGCTTCGCATCTTGGGTCGTGGGTGGCTTCGTGCGAGGGTACTGTTGGAGCTTTGGGCAAAGATAGCAGAGGCTGCAAGTTTTCTGCGGGCAGCCAAGCTTAACAAGTGACCTCTGTCGCGGGATTTCATTTGAATGATTTTGTTGGTGACGACGGCAATGGTCGCGACGACGGCGGTGCTGCTGTCGCTGGTGGTGATGGCTGAGGCCATGACTTGATTATAATGTTTGTGCTGCTTGCTATGTGTACTATCCTGTTTTGCTGTTTTGAATACCCCCACCTCGGCATCGAGCCACTCTTCCGAGGCGACCTTCGACCGAACAAGCACAGATACTTCGAGTAAACCGGCCACAAGCGGAAGAAGCCGCAGCAGTCATGTGGGTTATCACTGGTCACACTCGAAAGGCGAAACCTACGCACAGCTCTTCCGGATGAAATTTGGGCAGCCCACCAGGCGCACAGATTCCGGATCATGATTCTCCTCGCTCTTCTTGATCCTGCGCTGTTTATCGGGGCATGAATACCTCCCATGAAGGACCGCCTTGGCTTGCCCCCGTAAGGCAGCTTTGTATGGTGAATCTCTGGCACGAAAGGTGCCCCAAAATACCGCCAAGAAACTTGGTCAGCGCTCTCACTGCCATTTTGGCAGTTTCCCGATGCGCTCTACAAGTACACTTCTTACACCTCTGAGAGTAAGATGCTTGGCAGTAGGGCCTCGGAGGCCGCGATAGGTCGCCAGACCTGGGCAGTTGTCTGAACCCCTTCTTGCCAGCACTTCTGATCCTTGGCGGGGATGTGTAAGGCGAAGGTCCTGACGGAACAATTATGTAATACGTAACCCAGGAATCCAAGGAGGCTGCAGTCTTGAGCTGATTCGGCGACCCATGCGCATTGTAGTTGGGCCAGAAGCTCCACATCCACGAACCACGACTACAGGTCATTATCACAGCGATGCACCTCATTGTCAAGTAGAAGCGGTCGGTTTCCTCGTTGAACTCGAGGATCCGAGCATAGATCTGTCAGATTGTGCCGTTCCAGGCTGTGTTAAGGCACACGCCCCATGCGAGCGAGAGCGAGAGAGAGAGAGAGAGAGCGAGCACCTAGTGCAGATTCTTTGCCAATTAAATAAGCTGAAGGACTGCAAACTGGCGGCTTTTGCCATCGCAAATGCAATCAGGTGCCTGCTTGCCCTTCCGCAATGGGTCCCGCTTCGTAGGGAAGCCGTCCTTCAGAAAGCCCCAGGCTTGTAGCAAAGCGATATGCAATCTTCTTCGATATGCAATCTTCGTGCCCTGCTTTGAAGCTTCACAAGCGCTGGTCACAGGGCCTCCATCTCGCCGTATTCCAGGACCTCGCAGCAATCCGATCTCAGCCCAAGTAAAACGAGCCGACCACCTCCCGTCTCTTGGCAAGCCTGAGCACCCCAGCCCGCTCCGGACCACCATTGCTAGCAGTGCCGTGTTGAACCGACACTCACTTCAAGTCTCGCACCGGCTTGCTGCCGTGAGCTTTTGGTAGTACTACGTGTGACATCTGCGGTGCGCACATACACAATCACACCCACCTACCCACCCACCGACCCAGCTAGTCAGCAGCCTGCACCCGACAAACACACGCGCACACACACACACACACACCCAGCCAAGCTGCAAGCAAGTAGACTATGTAGGCACGTGACCGCATCCTTGTCGGCCCCGATGTCGACGTAGGCCAGGGATGGACCGCGGAATTGCGTGGCCATCCTTGTACAGAGGCTTACCAAGTTGTAGCTTAATGGGTGAACCTCGGCCAGGACACTCACCGTCTGCAACAGTGTCCATGCAAGCGGGTGTGAATCTGGGTCAGCACTTGAACTCATGGCTGTCGTGAACGGGATTTTCGTGGATGCCTAGAATCCTAGAGGGCGATAGTTTGAAGGCCGTCAGAAACCAAGTTTAAGCATGCAAGTGATCTGTATCCAGGGCCCGCGCACACGCCCACTTACGTTTTGTCCTGAGTCCCGAGCAATCCGTCCCAATTTGGGTCACACTGGCCTCCCGATGTGCAGCCTTGTCATCCGAAAAACCTTTACTGGTGAACTGCACGTGACACTGAAGAACTGCGGAACCTCATGGAGCAGCAAGCACCGAACTTCCTACTCGCTTCAACTGCAAAGTACTGGCCCATGTTGTTGCTTTTGTCACACGACACCATTACACATCAAGCACGACAGCTGGCAGGAAGAGGAGGAAACACGCAGTCAATGTTACAGCTAACCACTCAGCCCTCACAGCGCTGACGGCACTCCGGGCGAGCTAAGCGAGTTTCAAGCAGGGATCCCAGCTTGAGCTGACCCCTCAGCTGCGGACCGACTTCAAAGCAGTCGGACTCGGTCTGCGAGAACTTCTCAGTGAGCTCGGCGATCGCCGCCTGCTCCTGCACACGACCCATGTCACAAGATCAGATTGTGCTAGGGAGAGTGCGGTGGGCATGAACGGCACCAATGGACTCCCAGCATTGCCCCACCTCATCGGCAACACGACGACGGAGTACCTAGCCAGCAACTTACGCCGAGCAGCGGGGAGCAAAGCGGCGAAGTCTCTACGCCCTCGCAACTCGGACTCTGCCAGACGAGGTCTCTCGGTTGACAAGCACATTGACGGACTACGATTGTTGCAGACGTGCACCGCTACACTCTACACCACAAGACAGAAGTACGAGCCTAAAGGCAACTAAGACAGAACGCGAGCAGTGAACATCAGAACGACACTTGGGGTGCACTGCTACCACCGCAAACTCTACCCACAAGCACGACCTAGCGTTAGCATCAAAGACAACCCAGCGCTCAGGCCGAGACCCTTTCGTGTGGAGCGCATGAGAGGTGCCTGTCATGCGGTGTCAACCCGACGACGTGACGCACTTCCCACTTCCCTCCTGCTTCAGCAGTGATGCTGCATCCTGCCTCCAGAATCGAAAAGCCCTCGACCTGGAACCTGCTCTCCACGAACACCGAACCGATCCTTCCTCGCCCGGCCTCCCGCAAAAGCCCAGGGAGCTAGCCGATTGCCGGGGGCTCCAGGCCTTCTCAATAACGAGAACGACAGAAGCTTTCACCCGACAACCGCGACCTACTGCCACAAGAACCAGCACACAAAAAGAAGATACATACACAACTGCATGAATAACAGTGCTGCGCCGAGATCCGCGCACAGATGCCTCCGAGGAGCAGTAAAAGGCCTCTGAGAGAATCTGTTTCAAATCTCTTCAGGTCTTAGGGCTGGGGTTTGGCAGCGTTCCCTGTGAGTTTCATGTTATCAGAAAGGTTAAAGCGGGTTCAGGGAGTGAAGGTTTGCATGTTTGCCAGGGTCCTAGGTCTTGTAGCGTGTATTTCTGCGGCCATGTGATCCTCATAAACGAAGATGCCAAGTACTGGTCAGCACGCGTAACGTGCGCTTGTCGATTGGGCACCATCAACGCTTCACATCAAAGCGATGAGCTTTGGACCTGAACTGCGGCAACCCCATATGATGCATGCCGCCAGAAGTTCAAAGGCTTATATACTTAGACTACAGTTGTCTGCATCAAGAGTTTCGGGCTGTCCTCCCGAAACTTGCAATCACCCTGCGTGTCCCCCTTTGAAGCCGAGTGGCGCCATCCTCCCAGGGGTCGGCCCATTTCCCCATGTGCGAGGGCTTGCTGCCACGGGGCTGTACTTCTTTTTTGGGGGGGCTGTACTTCGAAGTTCAGGGTTTCGGATGTCGTGGCGAGTACGTAGCTGAAGAGGTGCTGGCTGTACGGATTCTAGGAGTCATGCGCGATGTTACTACATGGAGACGCGAGCTCCCGCAGGGTCCGAACTCTTAACCAATGAGCTGGATCGGGCTGGTGTCTCTGTATGTAAAGGCTTCGGACGTGGCACGCATAACCAAGCTTCGGTCAAGAAGCGCTTCAAAGACACGCTACCGATTCTCAAGCTATCTAGTCGCAGCCTTTTAGCAAAAGGGCCACGTGCGTTTGAAGCTATCTCAACAAGGCAAAATTCGTGGCATATTGCAGTTGCCTCGAGAGGAGGGTTTCGGCTTGGAACGATACTTGGAAGTTCTGTGCGCTTTTCGCAATTTTCCTGGATTTGTTCCACACCAAGAAGCGCGGCTGCACCATCGCCACCGTGAAAAAAAACAATGATTACAGAACAAAGACCAGGACGAGGAGGACGACAGAGACAAAGACAACGGCGGCAACGGCAACGGCAGCTGCACCAGCGCAGCAACAACAACAACAACAACAACAACAGCAGCAACGGCAACTCCATATTGCAATAACAACTACGACGGCGATTCTGCTACGGCTTGCTTAATTGCTAAGTTTTCTACTCCGACTACGACATCAATGCCATCATCGGGAGAAGAATTGCAATTACCACGACCCCCACTCAAATCTCACCAACAACACTGACTGCTATCCAGACTATCATCAGCATCACCATCATCATTTTCACCATCCATGACGATGTAGGGACTGATCAGCACATCGGCTGGAAGCAGTTCGAAGGGATTTGAACCATCTCGTCGTTGGCGCAGCCAGTCTTCGCAGATGTAGTGAAGAAGAGCTGCAGCTTCAAATATCTTTAAACAGGCTCAGATTCAAGACCTAGCATCCTGATGCTGTGTTGCTGCGTCTGGCTTACTTCAAGCATCTCGTAGCATCTCGCACCACGCCCCAACCGTGGCCTCAAGTAGTGCGAACCGCCATTTGTCAAGAAACGACATATTCAAGACGTCTTGGCCCTTGTAGAACAGCTCTACGAGCCTATCCTTTGCCGAGTACTTTTGCGAAGCTGCCTGATGGCGGCCATTGCTGAAATCTAAGAAGTCCTCGCTTCTCACGAGACAAACCGTTCTGCCTTGGCAGGCTCTGGCATCTGAGTCTGGCAGCCTGCAAAGGAGCCAAAATCTAAATATGCAGACTTTCGTACCGACAAAAACATGCCTACTCGTTTGTAAGTTTCTGTCATGCCCTTGCGTGGCCTAACCTGGCACTGGCCATCAGAACTGCCAACCGAATTGAGGAAGGCCATGTCACAATGCGCAAAAGGCTTCATGGATGATGCCGCAAACACTGGAAGTATGAACAGAAAATCAAAGGTATATGCGATGTCTGACTGTGTCTAGTGAAGTCCAGTGCCATCCCACAGCCAATGCCAATACAAGCATGCAAGGACATTGTTCAAGCAGCAGGAGGACTCCAGCGTAGACCTTCATCCATTGAAACACAACAAGCCTGCTGCAACCCAGGCTGCAACTTTTGCTGCAGAAAGGTGAGCCCCAACAGTTCGCTGGCCAACGTGCAGAGACGACAGTGACATGATCACCTCAAACTGAAACGCGTAGCACGCACGTGTAGGTCATAACAGTAGGCCAAGAAGTTGGCGCTCCGTTCCGGCACAATGCAAAAGTCGAATCCAAACACAGCCGGACAAGCTAAACCCCAAGAATACTACAGCCAGCCGAACACTAGTGATATGGAGTCTAAGCAACAGCCCGGCTACGAAAGGCGGGGTACCTCAAGTCAGGACACTCCAGGCTTCCTCGCACGGCGCCGTTGTGACTTCCATGGGGCCTCACCCACCTCGCGGGCAAAACCCACTGATAGCTCCAGGTGTCTCAAAGCAGCTTGTCTACCCTGTGCCCTCTTTAGAAGACGAGAAGACGGGTTCTTATTATCAAGGCCACTGGGAGTTGCACAGCATCATGTGCTCCCGTGGATCCATGCAAGAATCGCTAGCTTTCTGTGCAACGGCATTTGCTCTGTGGGCTTCTTGGAAGGCCCTAAAGAACAGTGTGTTGCACTTCGGGAACTTGCAAGATTTTCAGGTCGGGAATCACGATAGACGGTAGCCTTCTTTGGCTGAATCTGCTAAGGGGCGCAGGCCAATCAACCGGACCAACATGCGTAGCGAGTCCTCGTACTTCATGCTTGGGGGAATGCGCGACATCCCACCGGAGGACCCCTTCCCAAATGCCTCTTGAAATTACTTTCCTCATTTACTGAGAAGCCAGATACCATGCATCAGGTAGATATGCGATTCTAGTGACATCTTTGCTCACAGTGCGAAAACGGAAAGCCGAAAAACTCGGGCCTGTAGTGTGTTATTTTCTGTGTATATATATATATATATATATATATAATTTTGGTATATTATATGATAGTATATATCTATCTATCCATACATGCACACACCCCCTGTGCCAGTATGTATAAGTGTATGATACATGTATTCATGTCATGCCATATATGTGTGCGTGTGTTGTGTGGTGTGTGTGTGTGTGTATGTATGTATGTATGTATGTATGTATGTATGTATGTATGTGGGTATGTGGGTATGTGGGTATGTGGGTGGGTGGGTGGGTGGGTGGGTGGATGGGTGGATGGGTGGATGGGTGGATGGGTGGATGGGTGGATGGGTGGATGGGTGGGTGGGTGGGTGGGTGGGTGGGTGGGTGGGTGGGTGGGTGGGTGGGCGGGGGGGTGAGTGGGCATGTATGTATGGATGTATGTGTGCCTATCTATGCATGCATGTACGTGTGCATCTAGGTATGTATACACACACACACACAGAGTTCCTACGAACAGTGTAACAGGATTTGGGTCGAGGCTCCGGTGTGGGCCGGGGGACAATTTCGAAATCACGCAGCTGTCTCCACAGTCCCGTACACAGCCACGCAGTCATGAAGTGGATGAATCGCGCCCATCACAGTGGCATGCGTGTCTCGGTGTGTTCCCGGCGGGAAATCGTTCTTCCGCCAAAGTCCCATGATCATTCTTGTCTTCAAACATCTTCAAATCGTGAAGTTCCCAAAAACTGCGGGAGGGTTGGTGTGCTCTCGCAATGCTGCCGCTCTAACGGGTTTTGTGGGAATTTTCCGGTCAGGGGTGCGCAGGATTTCCGCCTCCAAAACCGTGCTCCCGCTACCATCCTGCGCACACTTCGCGCTGGGCCTCATGCTGCCTTCTCAGTCTCATTCGTGTTTTGGCCGAGTGCTCCCGCAGTACGGTTGGCCTGATGAGTGCTGGGAGCCGTGCTCCTGGAATAGTTTTTTGGTGTGCAGGCCTTGTCCTTTCAGCCCTTTTAGTCTTCGAGGTCGGGGACATAATTCTGTTTCTGCTCAGTACGACATTTCGATGAGAATAACCATCTTTTGAAGCGCATGGCCATAAAGTTGGCCTCGGTCCTCCCAGTGGCTGTGTCGACAGCACCGAATGCCATAGCCTCGAAAAAGAAAGAGGTTCCAAAGGATAAGGGGTTTTGGCTTGGTACAACGGGTCCAAAATAAAGGTAGTAAACTTCTGTTCTTTTTTTCGTGTTAACTTCACGTACCACAGCAGCCTACGGCCTGCAGGCTGCCTCAAACTTGCGTGTGTCTGTTACTTCTAAGGGGTTGAGCCCAACGCTACTGCACATGATGCAAAACACGGAAGCAAAGCTTTATTGACTTTATTGCTCATTCATACGAACCCATCATTGGTCAGACCAGGAGCGAGATCGCAGGGAGCTGGGTGACAGCCATTCGGGGCAGTGGCCACTGCTGGCGCAGTAAATGCACCAGGCATGTTCACCAGAGTCGGAGCAATCGATCCAGAGGTGAGAACTGCACTTCGCGTAGCCAGGCCACCAGCGTGCAAATCTGTAAACAAATCAGGAGGCAACGGAGGCGTCCGCGGGGCTGCAGACGTCGTGTTGAGCGGAGGCAAAGGTGGGGGCGGAGGAGGCAAGCCGTTCAGTTCAGGCACCTGCAATGGGGTCATCAAAGGGTTCATCAATGGGGCAGGCGTTGTTGTGGACATTACTTGTCCGAGAAAGAATGGTTCAGGAGCCATATGGAAGCCGTTGACCTGACCAAATTGCGACAGCACGGGAATGGGGAAAACTGCATCGGCCATTGGCACAGACTGTGGCAAAGCCTCCGGCTGCACAGCCTCAGGCTGCACAGCTTGTGGAAGCGTCTGTGGCAACAGCGGTGTCTGCTCTGGATCTGACGGAGGGATGATAGTTCTTAACGCTCGTAAGGCCGAGGTGACATCTTTGCTCGCTTTGGCGGACAAGTTCGGCACGGCCCGCTCCTCTTCGAGTTCTTTATGAACTGGCTTGGCCTCGCCTTGCTTCTCCAAACCAGGGTCTCGGTCAACTGTGTCAGGACTTTGGAAGCAGAAATAGGGAAGGCAGATCTGATCCCCGTCGCCCGGTAGGTCTGCTGAGGCTTCCTCGGCTTTGCCGGCATCTGCACTCAAACATGAACAACCATGAACTGGCTACTAGTAGCGAAACCACGACTTTCCCGAGCAATCAAGGAGTTTTCAACCTCAAGGCCCAGACTCGTCCAGGCTTACATGCACCCCTGCACGCCGCAGCCGCTCTAGTAGCGCTGGCGGATTGCGCACCTTCTGACCAGGTTGGCAGACAGTCTACAAACCCTGCCCACAGGCAAGCAAAGCTCTCACGCTGCTAGTGACTGGTGGCTAGTTCACAACTGGAGCAGGTCGCACTCTGTCCCTAGGACCAAGTATTAGTGTTGTCTCTTTACAACAGCTTGCAAGAGCCTCCAAGGATTTCCTGCGCCGACATGAGGAGCACAAAGGACATGTTTCGATACTTCCACAAAGTAAGTGCTAACGGATTGTGGTGTCGGTGGCACTTGCTTTGGCTGTCGCCGCCCAAACCCCATCTGCCGCAACAACGGCCCATGGCAGCGACCATTAGCAGCCCCAAGAAACCCCAAAGATGGAAGACTTGCCTGGTTCCCCGCCAGATAAAGCCAGCGCTGACAGCCTTTGGGCCCGGGCGACAGAGGGTTTTTCAGGTGCGCAGTGCAAGATTCCAGGATGCAGGCAGGCCAGGGATTGGAGGGATTGTAGGGAGTCCGAAGCCGAGTGACGTCTGCTTCTCGTTGCAAATGCAGAAATAAGCCCGAACACCGCTTCATCGTCAAGGTCGTTGCACGCCAAGTCCAGTTCCTCTCTGCGAGTGGACCCTGCAAGAAGATAAGCTCGTACTTCGTTTTTTTTACGATTACTATTCTGTGTCTACCCGAATGGCTGACCAGAGATCTCTGATTCAGCCTTCGCACATGCAGGAGGATTCAGGGCCAAGGGGGATCGGCTACTCCTTTCTCGACGAGGTCTTAGAGTCATGCCAACAAAAAGAATGGCCGGTCAACTGACACAGGCTGATGAAGCCTGGCCTAGTCCCTTGGATCCTATCAGTGGCTCACCATGCTCATCGCCTCTTGTGTGGTAGGCCGTAACGAGCATTGGTGTTTGCGCTGAACGCAACAACGAAATACGGAACGATATCTCCGACTTTCAAGCGTGCGTTTCCACCGAACCCATCGCTCAGCAATGATTCCAGAAGGGTTTCCGAACCTTTCCGCACCATGTGCGAAGCATCCACAGGAACCATAAAGGAGCAAATAAATGCTGGCGTGAAAGCCGCGTCAGTCGAAAATGGTACATTCGGCAAACAGCTCGGCCCTGCTTGCGGAATCTTTTTCTAACAAAACGACACCTCTACCAAAACGTGGCACATGCGCATATGAAAGAGTACTCGGTACCCTGCAGTGTTCCAGGTTTCGTTCTCCCAAGCGCGCAAACCGGCCTGAGTACTATGTCACTATGCCACTTTCCTTTCAACAAGCCGAAGAATACTGGAAGCCACTGGAAGCCTTGCTGCGGATTCCCGAATTGTGCAACTATGTAATCGTGCACGACGACGGATGCGATGGAGCTGTCGGCGTAAGACACGGTACGAGTAGCTTCAACTCGTAGCGCTAGCTTCAGTTTCATCTTGCACCATGCAAACGAAAAATGCGTGGAAGAATTATTCGTACACGTTTCACAAGGTGGCACATTGTTAGCAGACGGCACATGTTGGCCCAACCTTTCCCCAAACGGCTCCCCCAGGTCCCGGAGACCCTCCGCACGCTGCACGAAGTCCCGCAGTCGTCCGGCAGACCTGCGCGCGTTCTGAAGAGACGACGCGAGAAAATTCACACAACGAACAAGTCAATTTTCAATTGTTATGCAGGGCTAACGAAAACACAGGCAAAGCACAAACTGGCTGCGACGCCAACAAGCTGTAGCATTAGGTGACAACAGAATTGTTGCAGTAGCTCACCTTGAACCTTCGCCAACTTCGCACAGTCTACGATCGCCACTTTACCGGATTGAGTTACAATTAAGATGTAAGGCTGCGGCCATGTCCCTTCAACCCCATGCCGTCTTACAAAAATGACAAGCAGACAAACATAAACAACTATGACAAGGAGGAAGACCGATGCAATGCTATCCCCAAACCATTCTTCACTTGCATGAGCCATCAAGATCGAGGCGCTTCTGTGTAAGGCTGTTGGAAGCCAGCCAGAGCCTCAGCCACTGGGCAAAGAAGTGGTCAGAATACCAAGTGGGGAAATGGACTACGATCCTCGTCATCAAGATCAGAGCAGGAAGTAGAAGACAAGCTGGAGAACGAGCGGCAACCCATCAATGCATCAAATAAATTGTTCCCTGTAGTGGTCTATCAGTCTATCACCTCCGCAAAACAGTGGCAGGTCGCCGTGCAACACGCAGATTGCCGAGGCAGCCGAGTAATTCTGCAGCATCCTTGGGCACCAGCCGACCGCGAAATACTGAAGTGTATTAGGCTCAGGTGGTCTCCCTCAGAGTATATACCCTCCATAACCAGCAGAAAATGTTGCTCAGCTGTACAGGCATCGGAGTCCTGAAGGCACGTTCCACGAAAGTCAGCCCAACAGGAAAAGTCCGCATTAGATGCTAATAGTGCCTGCTGCGCCAAGCCTGGCAAGCACATCTGCTGCAAACATCGAAGCCGGCTTGCCAGAACACAATCTGTGCTACTTGGCCCGGCTTCAAAGTGAGACGCATTGAACCTGCTTCAACCTCTGACCACTGCTGCCGACTTTTGCCACTTTTGTCCATACTGAACCTTTCGGACAGTGGCACCCTGTCTTCTCTTACTGCAAATCTGAGAAAGCATCTTGATGGCAAGCTCCGTCTGCTCTCGCCTTCAAAGCCCGGCATAGCGTCGTGCGATCTGTGACTCCACCCATTCGACTCTTGTCTTCGTAAGCGTGCCCCGCGATGGTTTGAGTGTGCCATCGTCCGCCAGACGCGGATTTCACTAGATGGGTGATGCTACTGTGCTCTGCGACAGACTCGTGCGGCAGTCGCCCGAACATACGAGTAAGCGTCAGCCTGGTTTGGTGCCGCGCCTCGTGGGGCACGAAGCCAGGCCAACAGCTCTGGGAGCCTGTCCTGCGGATCCACAGTTGTCAGTTGTATCCAACACTAAAGCACCCAAAACCCTGCGTAGTCGAGGAAGTAGAGCCCGATAGCACCGTACCGCCATACGGCCCGACACTAATCCCTATAGAATCCTGAAAAGGCCCTCCTCAAACCCCCGCCAAAAAAACACCCTCTCAGAGAGGGAGCCCTTCGGATGCTTCCCCCACAAGTCCGGGAGATCCACACCGGCGAAGCTGAGCTCCAAGCCTCGGTTCCAAGAATCCTTCGAAGCGATTCCGGAACGATTCCGGAAGAAGTGTGCGGAATTGCGCGAATTCAACCTGCTTTAAAATTCCTGCTCTTGATTCACTGCCGCAAGTCGACGGGTGAGTGACGTTGGACTGAAATTGACTGAAAGCTGCGCATCTGCGGAGCAAGGAACTAGAAATGTCTGCTCCCCCGACGATCAAGCTGAGTTGCGTTTGGGTATGTCCGGACTCTGCCGCGATGCCTTGGCTGCTATAAAAAGACTCTGTCTCTGAATGATAGAGCTCAAGCTTCCCTGGCAGCGACATCGAAATGCGCAACCACACGAAAAGTGCATATCCAAACAACATGGTGAAAAGGCCGCCGGCCAATTATTGTTGCTGCTGAAGTCACCACAACCCTTACGCGTGAGGCTAGCCAGTCGGGCAGGTACCCCGCTGAGCCTTGCACCATGGGCCAGCATGGGTCAATGGTAGCTTCACTTGGCACATACGCAACAGTTTCAACTGCCTTCCTGGGCTTACGATTGCCATGCTAGTGCTCCAATCTCCGATTCTGTACCCTCCAGCCGCACCTTCGGTCTGCATCGGGCAATAGGGCTCAAGCTCGTGCTTGTCATGACAGCCAAGTCCAAGCAGGTTAGGCCGTTAGGCTCTGGCTGGGTTTAGTCGGCGGGCTCAGACTGGACGCAAGCTCAAGGCAGGCTGGCCGCGTAGGCTTGCTTGGGCTCATACAATTTGCTTCCTCTGCTGCGTGGAGTGGTGCATGCCGCATTGAAATCGTGCACATTCCTGAAGCCGACTTCGCTACCGATTCGATCGAACGGCAATTAGCGCAATTGGATCCGGACTTCACAACACATCCCAACGACTAAAACTGAAACTAAACGCCATCCTTTCTGCAACTTCAATCGCCACAAGGAGCCCAAATTCTTGTGGCGCATGACTTTCGGAAGAGCTTCTTTTTGCGGCCGTTCTGCCAAGGAAAACTGCAAGTGAAACAAGTCCTCCTAAACTGAGCCACGCAGTTCCAGACATGGAGTGGGGAACTTCCACGACATTTTCCGTGCAATTTGCGATTTGCCTTTAAACATGCCTGCGCCGCGCGTGCTCATGAGACCAGCTCATGCCGAAGTGAGGCCACCACATTTAGGCCTCACATGCGGGACGGGCTGGTCATCGGAGAAGGCTCCCCTGGTTCTAGCTGCCTTGGACTTGCCGAACCAAACGACACATGTCTCGAGTCGTGCCCTTGCTTTGGGCTGCACTTGGCAATGGACGCCCCATGGCATGAACTGCGCCATGTCCTCCTTCAAGTTGGGACCTGCAGCGGCGACTGAGAGAACGGTGAACAAATATTGCATCCTGTGGGTTCTTCTCCCTCTTTTTCACGAGGGACCATAAATTCACTCAAAGACATTTCACACGTGGTTGGTGCCATTTTCGCCGAAACGAGACATTCTCACCGTCGACGCACATGAATATTCGGGAACTCGCAACGACCTCTGAGGGCTCGTCCACTATCGTCGCCGTACCGAGCCTGACCGGCAATTGTGCAGGTGGATACTGTGCGGCTCTGTCAGGCAGTGCTGTCTTTCGCTTGAGAACCTACGGGCCTGATACCTGGGTATGAGCATTTCTCTCCAAACTCCCCAATCTCTTCAGGTCAATATATGGGAACATGCCCTCTTTTCACAGGTACTGCTCTTAAGTCAATCCCTTGTAGCTTCAAACCAGGCATCACTGAAAAAACACGAAATATCTAATTATTCAACCACACGACCCAAAAAAGACTGAACCCTGACTGAACGGCTAAACAGGCTCTTCTTCACGGACCTGCGCGGTTCCCCAGGTGGAGGTGCGTCGGTTTGGCGAGATGCTGTCGCCCTCGAGGCTGGATTTCCCAGGGCTGCTTGATTTCCAATCGATGGCTTCAGGCTAAAGCTTTCACGCTGGCTTGCAGGCGTTCTTCAATCAACTAGTCAACCCGTATGTGGGGTGAGGGCGACTTCTGGCAGAAACCGATCCCTGCAGCAACACAATGCAAGACACTTGGCAGGGTTCGTACAGTCAAACGCCAACGCGACAATCAATCAAGGTGCGAAAGCCAGGAACCCTAGACTGTACTGAGGATTGTGTGGCCCTGTACACATGTATTTATCACCCTCGTCATCATGTTTATCCTAATCTCAAGTATAACAGCCGAGGCATGTGATTTGGTGAGACTATACTACCACTACCACAACCACCAGCGTGTTGCATGGACGAAAATTGTTTGTAAATGCTATTAAATTATTGCAGGATTCCTTTTTCATTCCACCGTACTGTGGTTTCATGTGTCGGTAAGGCAAGCTCCAACCTGGTGTCCTCAGTTGTGACAGATGGCGATATGAAAACTGAGAACTTGCAAGAAGCCTGCGTGTGACTCCGTCGTAGCTGGGCACGGCGGCTGGGAGAGCTGCTATGCGCCTTGGCATTGACAGGGACATGGGCCAAGCGGGCAGGCTGCTGTTGTCCGACATTTGTGCCTAAACGATCTTCCTGCTTTGAAGAAACCAGGCATGCTAAGGATCAGATTTTCCGCTGCTGCGGCTCCAGGCTCCATCCTCGCCGATGCTTCGCTTGGACGGACTCTCGCTGGAAGCCTGACTCGTGCATCCTTTTCACTGCCGTTCAGTTCCGTACATGAATGCGCATGGCCGTCTTCGGCCCAAGGACTGCTGCGCAGTTGGCACAACGACCACCCAAGCGTGTGAAAAGCTCCTCTGCGGACATTCAAACCAAGCAAGACACTCGGCATAGAACGTGCCCGAGAGAGAAAGACAGAACTATCGACTCAACTCGACCCTGTTCGACGACGGGCTCTGATTGGTTACGAAGCAACAACTGTGCACAAGAGCTACTGGACTTTCGCAACACATTTCCAGCTCGCTGGCGTCCATGTTCGTGACTACGCACTTGTCTTGCTCGAAGCATGCTAGCAGCAAGACAATGTTACCACATAGTCTTGCCAACTTTCGTTAAGCTCAACCTGACATCAGCCTACAAGTGTGTCATCCCCTTGGACACCATAGTTCCTCCAGTTCAGCCAAAAATTGCGGCAAAGCTGCTAAACGATTGTAATGCTCTGCACAATGCGTTCACGGGAGAAGTGTTGTATGGTATGCTTCTTGCATGGTTGTCTCTGATAATAGTCTTTCTATGAAATATCCTGCATACGCATGTTCGCATCACGACTGTATTAAAAACACACGCAGGAACTCTACCCGATAACCTGTGATATGTCGTTTTGGCAAGACTGTCAGCTGCGATATGTCGTTTTGGCAAGACGGTCACATAAAAACCGTATGTTTCCTTGCTGACGTAGATTCATGTCAATGCAAAATGCCCGCTGCGGGCCTTCCATGATACCACATGCACATGCCTACGTTGCTAAACTGGATGTAAAACGACATGATGTTTTTTTGCAAGACTTTGCCGCATGCTCTTTTGAGCTACCATGACCTGCCATGTTGATGGTCTATCTGGCATGTTGTGGTATGACGCGGATTTCGTTAAGCAGCTTGATGGTGTGACACTGTGTTGTATCAGTGCACTGCCATTTGACCCCTTCTTTGGTTCTGCGGTGTACTGCATATTACAAAGTTTGCTAAGTCAGTTCACTGGCCTTTCATCATGTCACAAGCTTGCCTGCGTAGCGCTCCTCCGCAGGGTAGGTCGCGTTGGTGAAGCACTTTGCGTCTGCCAGCTTGCGGCTCAAAGCTTGCAACATCAGCAGGTGAACGTCCGAGTGCGAAAAGTCCGAAGAAATATCAAGGGTTAGCTAGGAACACCAGCATACGATGATGTGGCAAAACGAAATAATAAACAGAGTCTGGCTAGATGATAGTTACAGAAAATAGAGCCAAGATTGTGCAGAGCTGCACCTGTCTTTCTATACATTATCTGCATGCCCACCATGGAATACTATTTGGTATGAAGCAAGAGCATATCCCAGTACCACAGCTAGAAAAAGATATCTTCGTTCGGAAAAGCGCATCCGTGGGCGAACCCCCAGCATCGAGGTTCCAAAACTACGATGGCGATGTACCCACATGATAGTCTGGTGAGTGTGGCGAGATACGAAGATGGACACACAGCAACGATGCAACGGATTACTGCAGTCTACCCGGATGTACTGCAGTCCACTCACGAGCATGGCAGGATGCCGAGATGAACGCATGATGGCTTGAAGCAGAGGGCGATTGGCATCCCCCCATGTTGATGTATGTAGCTTGGCCAGATCTTGGCATTTTTTTGGTTCGCGCCTTGCACCTTGAACGAAAACCTAGAACCTAGATTAAGGCACTCTGCAAAACCACACGCGAGCGGCAGGCCACTTTCAGATAGATGACCATGAAGCAGCAGCGGGAGAGAAACGGTTGTATGACACCAGACCAGACGAAGCAGGCATCGTGAAGCTGCGAAGTCAGCTCTCTCGATGAGTCTGCAGTCCTACACACCGGAACGCGAGCCCCGCCCAAGTCCGAGCGTCCAGATCTTCTAGAAAGGCCGCGGCGGGTTTCTTCTCTGGCTCGCTGGCCTGGCAGAGGAGCAAAGCAAGAGAGTTCCAAAGACACATCGGATTTTTTGGGTCCTTGGGCCTAAGGCACCCTTGCTGCTATGGAATCTCTCGTGTGCGTCGGACGGGACGAGCGGAGAAAAGTCTCGCTCCAAGGCTTCTGTGCTGCGGCTGTGGCCAAGCCTGCAAGGTGAGTATGCCTGAACTGAAAATCCGTGCAAGGCTTACAGCGCAAGGGTGGCATCAGGAGGCAGGCAGGATCGGGTACAACAGAAGTACCCCTCGCTGACGAGTTATCTTCTGCAGAAAATGCGGGATCAAGGCTCAGACGCAAACTTCTCCCTAAGCAATCGAGCTGCATTCCCTCGTCCAGCCTTGGGCCCTGCTTCGGGCTGCACCGGGGCTGCGGCAACGGTTGCCTCGAAAGACAGAGCGGATCAAAGTCCTTTCTTGCAGCTGCGTGCGCACCCTCCTCAGCTTCACATTGGAGACAGGCAAGACAAGGATTGTCTAGAAGTGGCGTGTATAAGAAGTTTCTCGTACAAGGCATAAGGGCTTTGTCAAGCCTGGGTCCGAGGATTGCAGCTGCTTGCAGCTTGCTCTTTCCAGCTTTGCCTTTGGCATCCTACTGACTCGTACATAGCTCCTTCGGCACAAAAGAATCTACTGTATGTATTCTAAGCCGCCCGTCTCAATGTCTCAAACGAGGACCAAAAAATGTGGCCCTGCAGCGCCTCAATTGCCCACGGAGGGAAACTCCCGCTGGCTGCCTGGATGAAGGTCTGTGCATCTAACAAAAAGATTTGGTCAGTGTGATCATGGCCGTGGAATTCGGCTTGTAGTTTGTGGTGCCTGGCGGACAAATCCACAGGGAGCCGCTACTCGCACCAATGCTTCATGACCGATGTGTGATGCGCTGTGAGGAGTTGAGTTGCTCGCAAGGCCCATCGTACCTTCCTCAGAATCGTGCTAGCCGCCTCGCCGTTCCCAAGCCGGTCCACATGAAATATACTTTGAACATGGCGAGTGTTCACGAACATGCGCGCTGGCACAAGTGCAGTTGATGAGGAAGCACAAACCGACAGGTCACCAGCTGCAACACCGGTGCACAAAGGCTGACAGTGTTGTGCAAGTACATGTGCTCGCATAGGCGAATCTATAGTGTTATGCGTACTCAGACACCCATATGGCCCATATGTGTACGGCAACCATGCATACATGGACAAGCATGTACAATACACTAGACTCGCTTGTGCAGTCGCAACTTGTTGCAACCATCCACCCAAGCCCACATCATCCACGCATCCCCTCTCTTCGAACCCTTGCCAGTCGAAGGTCACGGACCACCCCAAGCTGAACAAACACCGATTCGAGCGGAATCCCTGCCGAGAATGGCACAGATGGTGTCTGGCTTTGGCTGGTCGGCCATTCGAAGGCCTCTGCCGATTTGGTTTATATAACTCTGGGAACTAGCTGCTCTCGTTGTTCTTCACAAGCATTGCCGCCTAGCCATGGAGCTCTTGGCCTAGCCTTCCAATGGTGCCGGGCGGGATCTGTAAAGGCCACAAGTCGCCATGTGGTTGGACATGTGGAGTTCTTGCTGCAGCTCTCGCAGACTGCGGAAGAGCATACTCAGACGAGTCGGGCCGCGGCATCTTGTGGCCACACACCGCTCGAAGATGTGGCCTCCGTCAGTTGGGAGTCATGCTTCAGCTGTCGTGGTAGAGGAAGCTGGACTTCAACAGGCCTAGAAAGAACCCCTCAGGCTGAGAGCCTTCGAGGTCTCTTGCCCAAATGCCAGAGCCATGTCATCTTGAGGCCACTCCGCAGCCTGCAAGGGATGCAAACAGCGACACACAGCGACCACGGCGACTTCTGAAGCAAGCGTGTGGGCGAGCGAATGCCGATAACAAGAGACTCTGGACTCTCAGCCTCGCTAACGGCATGTTGCCCGAAGGCTGCGCTGCTCGCTGGCCAGCCAAACTCCTTGGCTTCAACCTTGAATCGAGACTGTAGAGGCATGGAATGCTGTGCACGAAGTACAGAAATCCTGATTGACGCTGCCCCCTGCTCGATGCAGGTAGGAACGGTCGGCGAAGCTAGAATATCCACCGCAAGGCCAATGGGCAAGTGGGCCGAAAAGCAGCATGAGGCAGCTGTAGCGCAGCTGAGTGCACTGCCGGCGTGTCATCTGTTGGCCAGCTTGCGCCATTGCGCGCCACTGGCTGCGCAGGCGAAGCTGGGCTCTTCTCACCCGCCTCTGATGCAGCAGATATGCAGACTTGCGACCCCTACTGGCGCCGGGGGATCATGTGTGGTTCGGCTAGTGACGCCAAGGATGTTCTTTGCCACAGGCCTGCCTACCGGAACATATCGACACCTTGCCGGCGAAAGAAGCCGATATAAGAAGAATTGCAACGACACATGACGTTTCAGGATTCGTCAGATATGCCACAATGCAGACACAGATGGGCGCCAACCCCAACAAATGCTCAAGGATGCCAGTCTTTGAACCAACGATCGTTTCGAAATTTCCTGCGGATGCTAGCTACCCGGTAGCAGCCGTTTACCATTCTTCAGTCATCTGCCCAGACAGCTGCATGCGTGCACTGTGCTTGCAGGATCGTGGCTATGAGCTGCGAACGTGCAGACTCACCCTGCTTGAAATGCCGGAAAGCAGTGCACACACGGCCATGTTCGAAGAAGCAGCAATGCTGAGAGCAATCCTGCCTTGGCTCTCGAGTGGGGTGAGCGCGGTTCATCGTTCACCTGCGAGGCAAGGACCATGCAGCAAACAAAGCTTGCATCTGCGCTCATGAATGGGCGACGTAGGTCCTTTCATGTCCGTCAAAACAGTGCGACACAAACGGCCCGCTCGCTGGGGCCGCGGCATCTTGTGGCCACACACCGCTCGAAGATGTGGCCTCCGTCAGTTGGGAGTCATGCTTCAGCTGTCGTGGTAGAGGAAGCTGGACTTCAACAGGCCTAGAAAGAACCCCTCAGGCTGAGAGCCTTCGAGGTCTCTTGCCCAAATGCCAGAGCCATGTCATCTTGAGGCCACTCCGCAGCCTGCAAGGGATGCAAACAGCGACACACAGCGACCACGGCGACTTCTGAAGCAAGCGTGTGGGCGAGCGAATGCCGATAACAAGAGACTCTGGACTCTCAGCCTCGCTAACGGCATGTTGCCCGAAGGCTGCGCTGCTCGCTGGCCAGCCAAACTCCTTGGCTTCAACCTTGAATCGAGACTGTAGAGGCATGGAATGCTGTGCACGAAGTACAGAAATCCTGATTGACGCTGCCCCCTGCTCGATGCAGGTAGGAACGGTCGGCGAAGCTAGAATATCCACCGCAAGGCCAATGGGCAAGTGGGCCGAAAAAAGCAGCATGAGGCAGCTGTAGCGCAGCTGAGTGCACTGCCGGCGTGTCATCTGTTGGCCAGCTTGCGCCATTGCGCGCCACTGGCTGCGCAGGCGACGCTGGGCTCTTCTCACCCGCCTCTGATGCAGCAGATATGCAGACTTGCGACCCCTACTGGTGCCGGGGGATCATGTGTGGTTCGGCTAGTGACGCCAAGGATGTTCTTTGCCACAGGCCTGCCTACCGGAACATATCGACACCTTGCCGGCGAAAGAAGCCGATATAAGAAGAATTGCAACCACACATGACGTTTCAGGATTCGTCAGATATGCCACAAGGCAGACACAGATGCGCGCCAACCCCAACAAATGCTCAAGGATGCCAGTCTTTGAACCAACGATCGTTTCGAAATTTCCTGCGGATGCTTGCTACCCGGTAGCAGCCGTTTACCATTCTTCAGTCATCTGCCCAGACAGCTGCATGCGTGCACTGTGCTTGCAGGATCGTGGCTATGAGCTGCGAACGTGCAGACTCACCCTGCTTGAAATGCCGGAAAGCAGTGCACGCACGGCCATGTTCGAAGAAGCAGCAATGCTGAGAGCAATCCTGCCTTGGCTCTCGAGTGGGGTGAGCGCGGTTCATCGTTCACCTGCGAGGCAAGGACCATGCAGCAAACAAAGCTTGCATCTGCGCTCATGAATGGGCGACGTAGGTCCTTTCATGTCCGTCAAAACAGTGCGACACAAACGGCCCGCTCGCTGGGGCCGCGGCATCTTGTGGCCACACACCGCTCGAAGATGTGGCCTCCGTCAGTTGGGAGTCCTGCTTCAGCTGTCGTGGTAGAGGAAGCTGGACTTCAACAGGCCTAGAAAGAACCCCTCAGGCTGAGAGCCTTCGAGGTCTCTTGCCCAAATGCCAGAGCCATGTCATCTTGAGGCCACTCCGCAGCCTGCAAGGGATGCAAACAGCGACACACAGCGACCACGGCGACTTCTGAAGCAAGCGTGTGGGCGAGCGAATGCCGATAACAAGAGACTCTGGACTCTCAGCCTCGCTAACGGCATGTTGCCCGAAGGCTGCGCTGCTCGCTGGCCAGCCAAACTCCTTGGCTTCAACCTTGAATCGAGACTGTAGAGGCATGGAATGCTGTGCACGAAGTACAGAAATCCTGATTGACGCTGCCCCCTGCTCGATGCAGGTAGGAACGGTCGGCGAAGCTAGAATATCCACCGCGAGGCCAATGGGCAAGTGGGCCGAAAAAAGCAGCATGAGGCAGCTGTAGCGCAGCTGAGTGCACTGCCGGCGTGTCATCTGTTGGCCAGCTTGCGCCATTGCGCGCCACTGGCTGCGCAGGCGAAGCTGGGCTCTTCTCACCCGCCTCTGATGCAGCAGATATGCAGACTTGCGACCCCTACTGGTGCCGGGGGATCATGTGTGGTTCGGCTAGTGACGCCAAGGATGTTCTTTGCCACAACATGGTGGGGGCAGAGGTGTGCCAACCCAACAAATAAACAAGGATGGAAGCTGTGCACCTTGGGATTGGCCAACTCCCACGATTGAAGCTTGAGCAGGGACACTGGATCCACTCCGCGTTGGACAAACACCCATGTTTGCTTTTGCACTATCGATTTTTCGATGATTTTTGCGGACATCGCCTGCCGGGCGTGCCTTCGTCGGATAGCAGCACCCAGCACATGTTCCTACGATGTATCGTCATCTGCCCAGCTGTGGGTAAAGACTGCGTTCGTAGGATCGCGGTTATGAGTTATGAGCTTCCCAAAGCAGTGCGCGCACGGCCATGTTCGAAGAAGCAGCAATGCTGAGAGCAATCCTGCCTTGGCTCTCGAGTGGGGTGAGCGCAGTTCATCGTTCACCTGCGAGGCAAGGACCACGCAGCAAACAAAGCTTGCATCTGCGCTCATGAATGGGCGACGTAGGTCCTTTCATGTCCGTCAAAACAGTGCGACGCAAACGGCCCGCTAGCTGGGGCCGCGGCATCTTGTGGCCACACACCGCTCGAAGATGTGGCCTCCGTCAGTTGGGAGTCATGCTTCAGCTGTCGTGGTAGAGGAAGCTGGACTTCAACAGGCCTAGAAAGAACCCCTCAGGCTGAGAGCCTTCGAGGTCTCTTGCCCAAATGCCAGAGCCATGTCATCTTGAGGCCACTCCGCAGCCTGCAAGGGATGCAAACAGCGACACACAGCGACCACGGCGACTTCTGAAGCAAGCGTGTGGGCGAGCGAATGCCGATAACAAGAGACTCTGGACTCTCAGCCTCGCTAACGGCATGTTGCCCGAAGGCTGCGCTGCTCGCTGGCCAGCCAAACTCCTTGGCTTCAACCTTGAATCGAGACTGTAGAGGCATGGAATGCTGTGCACGAAGTACAGAAATCCTGATTGACGCTGCCCCCTGCTCGATGCAGGTAGGAACGGTCGGCGAAGCTAGAATATCCACCGCGAGGCCAATGGGCAAGTGGGCCGAAAAAAGCAGCATGAGGCAGCTGTAGCGCAGCTGAGTGCACTGCCGGCGTGTCATCTGTTGGCCAGCTTGCGCCATTGCGCGCCACTGGCTGCGCAGGCGAAGCTGGGCTCTTCTCACCCGCCTCTGATGCAGCAGGTATGTTTTGACAGCTGCCGCGAACTTCTAAGCACAACTTTAGCAGCACCCATCGCCTCAGCTTGCGAGTAAGGTGTGGATTGTCCGTCTGACCGGATGTCAGTATCCTCCTGCGAGCGATCACTACACGGCAGACACAGCTTGTCATCGGTACCGTTTTGACCCTGTGCCATGACTGCAGTGCCCTCGCAGCTCCTTGCGCTCCTTTCGGTGACCGTCAGCCGGGAAGCTTCTGATACGACTGACCGAGGAAACAGCTGACGAGGATGGCTGGGCTGGTGTGGAAGAGCGCTCTTCCTTTGCACAGGAGGCTCACTCCGGGACCACGATGAAAGCGTGCTGAAAGATCGGTGCGACCGCCTGTTGTCCTGATTCAAAAGCCTGCACCCAACTTGCTCATGCACCCAACATCCCGCGAGTCCTGTACGGGCCCGAAGGCGGACGCCATCTCATCCTCAGTCCATCCAGTTGTTGTTGTTGTTGTTGTTGTTGTTGTTGTTGTTGTTGTTGTTGTTGTTGTTGTTGTTGTTGTTGTTGGGATATCATCCTTACCGCGGCTGCAGAAGGGTACAGTGTGCTGGTATCTAACAAGGGGAAAGTTCGGATCATCATCGTGTTGCTGGATGCTGAGCCTACACTATCCTGCACTGACAGTTTGAGGCTCGAACCCTGGGCGCATCACTGCGCCTGCTTCTGCCATCGCGGTGTCGTGTCGCAGACTCCCCAGCATCATAGTGGCGGTCAGCCTCCTCCAATGTAAATTAAGGGAAAATCTGCGGCATCGCGACATGATCTGTTGCGCTTGTTTCTTGAGACGGTGGAGTTCGGAGTAAGTTGTGTTCCGATAAGCTTCAGTCCAAAGAATGGATGTGCAAGCTAGCAAACAGCAACCGTGGGGGCGAAGCTGACCAGAGGCATAGGGGACGATCAAAAGGCAGACGAGTGGTGTCCGGGCCAATGGGAGGGAACGGTCGAATAATCAAAGTGGAGTGGAAGAGAGAATCTACAAATAAAGTAAAAAATTATCTCTCGGGATGTTGCATGGACGTCGAGTAGTGAGTAGTTGCTTTGACAAGGAATACTAACCTTTTCCCTGAAGAGATTCGTCAAGAGATTCGTCAGCTGCATGTACGGGCCGGAGCGACGACCGGACATCGTTTCGCGTCGCAATAGGATCAGAAGCACAAAACCACCACCGGTGTCCAGAAGGTAGACATGTAGATCAGAATCGGAGGCCTGGGGACTTGAAAGCTCAGTCCGGAGCCTCCTTTTGTTCCCTTCGCCTGCTTCTGCTGCGGCTTCCGGAGCTCTCGGGGCTTGCTCCTCCGTCCTGGGATTCACTGGTGCCGTCAGCCTAAATCTCTACTACAACATTACCAGGTATTATGCCAGAGCCAACTAGCTTGTATTTGCATGTCTTAATGTCTTCATAGCATTTAAAAGATTCACAACGGAAGCTGGGGGCTTGCTCAGGCTAAAGGTCTTGCTGCGTAGTGGCCGACACGTAAGAGTGATTAAGAATTTAATTCAGTATTGTGCAAATCATGACGATTATGATGTAATTGCTGCTGCTGTTGCTTTTGCTGCTATTCTTTATGACGCTCTCTCTTTCTTTCGCCTTTTCTTTCTGCAGGGCGTAAGGGGTCGCGCGCGCCCCCCAGGCCTAGGCCCGCCCAGCCCACCCCGTGTATTATGGAGTGGCTGGTCTTTGGGGTAGTCCAGACTATGGCATTGTACAACCCAGTGTGCTCTGGGCATACAAGCAGAAAGCCCCCCCGAACACTAAACACAGAAACAACCCGCGCCTCGTCCCCGCGCCCCTTCGGCTTACAGTCCTTAGCCTAGTCAAGTTCGGGAGGGCATGAAAAAAGCCGGCCGAATTCCCCTCCTGCCAAAAGCAGTCGGGGTGACGAATTGTTGTAGAAGGCGGATCGGACATCGTCAAAAAGACGGGTTTGCAATGAATTGGCAGAGAGGCGGAGCGAGCTGCCAAATCGTGACAGCATTGTTCAAAAGCTTCTGGAAGGGATATGGTACAGAAAAGCGTTCCCATTTGCTTTCCCCCAGCAAGGCTCAATCCCCCGAGTTGCGGTAAGGACTGCGCTAAAGAACACAAACAGGGCACATGCATCCCTCCGGCAAGGGTTAACTATGAAGAAATCCCCATGAAATGGGCCAAGGAAGGAAAGAGGAGCTCAACACAAGGCACTTCACCCCTCTCTCCCCCTCGCACTCAAACTCGGAAAACTTTTTCTCGCGCTCACTTTACTCACTGCGGCACCTCGGCGTTACTTCCCCCAACTCTTCGTCGGGCCATGTACTCCTGTACCTCCCTCACTTGCCAGCCTATGCTCGGCACCAGGTTCGTTGTCGGTCTCCCCCTGGTACCACGTTGTGCTGCATCACTTGGGTCTGTAAACTGGTGCGGCCTTTTGCTCCGCGGTTCCCCCGTCAGCGCTCTGGGCTCTCCTTCTGGTTCTGCGGGTCTCCTGCGGTCAACTGTGTTCCTTCTTGGAGGTTCCCCCAGTGGCTCCGCTGGCTTCATTTGGTTGTGAGTCAGCGTCCTGGGTTTGGTGGTGTATCCGAGGTACTGTCTTCCTTTTTCACACTGGTCGCTGCCGCCCCCCTCGAGCTGCTGGCTGTCTCTGTCGGCTTGGCTGTGGTCGGCACGGTCTCCTCGTCTGGTACGCGTTGTGGGTCCCCCTTCGTGGCTTGGTGCTGTGCTGCCCTCGTCCCCCGCTGTGCTTGCTTCTTCTTCTTCTTCACCTTGCGGGCATCCTTCAGGAGTTTTGGGATGCGGTGAGGGAAACGCATTATGAAGGCACGCGTCTCGTTGGTGATGCGGGGCATGAACTCGTCCGTGATTTTCACCAACGTGTCTGCTGCTGCTCCTAGGGCTTGGCGTTGAGAAAGGCTCCCCCTATAGCCAGCATAGGCCTCCCGGTCGCTCTCCCCCAGCGGCTCCCCCTTCTCGTCGTAGAGCTCCCCGGTCTCATCGTTGTGCTGTACGTTGCGCCCGATCCATACATCGAGCGGACTTGGGTGGAAGAGAAGGTGAAGTCCCCCACGTGTTTCGTGCTGCACCATGCGGTCAAGGCTTGTCGCACGTCTGGAAGAGGAGCCAGCTTCCCCCCCATCCTCGCCATCTTGTGCTCGTGGCTTTGCTTTTGGGCTGGCCACGGAAACATTGGCCAAGCTTGTAACTCCGTGCAGCCGACACGCCGAATCGCTTCTCACATGCACCTTCCGCATGCCGGGTTTGCATATCCCCCAGCTTCCCTGCATAGTCGACATTGCATCTTCCCAGGAAGTTTGCCTTGGGTTCCGTGAGGATGTAGTATGGCGGTCCCCCCTACTAACGGGCCAACCCCCCGAAGCAGGGCCGTGGTCAAGGGGTCCCGTGAGCGGAGAAACCCTTAGGGCCACTTAAGCAAAATGAGCGGCGTGTGACTCAAGCGCCGCAGGGGAAAGCAGCACGGCTCTCCTAAGGCTTACAACCTTAAGGCCAACCGCGTGCCTCCCCCCCCGTACCAAGGAGGGTTTACAGCCCCCCAAGGCAAGGTGCGGACACTTGAGCCAAAATGGCTACGCGAAAGAAAGCCTCTCTCTCTCTCTCTCTCTCTCTGTCTCTCTCACTCTCCAGCTTTTAACCACGGCTGGGGCGAGAGATGCCCCGCATCGCGCGAGTGCACCCCCGCCTGTTGCGGGTGCCAAGAAGTTGCATGCAAGCGCACTCAAAGGCTTGGAAGTGCGCAAAAACGAGGACGAAAGATATGCAAAAAGACTGTACGCACATCCAAGCAGTGTCTTCAACCCCTTGCGGGTGGGCACTCGGAAGGAAAGCCTTGATGACTCTCACTATTCTCTTTCGCCAGGGTTACCGTATGGTAGAGGTTTGCCCCTCCCTCTTCTTCCACTCAGCCAGAAGGGTTAACGAGTGCTAACCCGGCTACCCCTAGGGCACCCAGAACCACTAGACCTAGTACCACCAACGCGCTTGAAGGCTGAGGCTGGAGCCCCCCTACTGCCGATGCTGAACACGTGACTCTGAGCCTGAGCCTGCTGCCCATTTGGCAGCGCAGCTCGAGGGAGAATCACCCACCACTACACGCTCTCTCTCTACGGGGTGGGGGGGTCCAGTCAGCGTTTCTTTGTCTTTCATCAGGCTTGAGGGGCGAGGCCCCGTGTGGGCTGCCCGCCGGCTGGTGAAAAGCACGGCTTTACGTAGACTACGGTGTGACTCTCCCCTCAGATGTAAAAGATGTGCTATGCATTGCTATGCCACATCTCTTTCTTTCGTGAGGGTAGAAGCAAGTCCGCGCCCCCCCACATCTCTTTGCTTTGCTAGGGGCTAGGAGCGGGAGCAGTCCTCCCACCCCGCGCGGGCGCGCTGCCACATCCATTATTTGGCATGGATGGGCTCGGACTGTACAGAAGATTTTGTGCCTCTGTTCTTCAAAGGCCAGTGGCTGGGCCCCGTTGGGAAAAGCAAATGCGAAATGACTAACGAAGACGTTTGGTTCCCCATGCCACTCGGCAGTCTGTTTTGGTGGGTCACCCGATCGGCTTTATACCAGGTAAAAGTAAAACAACACGACGGCTTTGTCTCTCTCTTGCTTGCTTGCTTGCTTGCTTGCTGATGGGTATGAGGGCCGAAGCCCCCTGGCCCGAAGGCCTACCCGCTCAACGGCTCGCATCTGTCAAGTCTGCGCGGCCCCTTCCGGGGATAGGAGTGTTTCCGTTCTCCCGTCTGTGCCTGTAAACCCAGTCCCCCCAACGACCAACCTCCTAAACCGTCACCATGTATAACCTTGCAGGCAGCAAACGGGTCGGTCATCCGGGGCTCCCCAGTTCAACTACAGGCAGGCTGGTGGCAGCGTGTTCTCACCCTGGCTTTAAGGCCTTGACCTCCCTCTCCTCTCTGTCTCTCTGTCTCTTTGGGGCTTGCCAGCTGCACGTACCGGTGGTCGCACTCGTGGAGCGATGACCGAGCACTACATGATTGCGAGAATAAATTATAGTTATTAACTCTCCTTTAGATCGTTCTTGCTCGGAAGCGAAGTTCCGCAAGAACCGCAAACGAGTGAACCCGTTCCCCTGTCTTTCGAGCTACTTGCTAGTCCACGAAGGCCCTGCCTGTGGTGTGAGCGCTGTAGTCTCTCGCATGACACCTTCAAGGTTTTCATGAACGGGCAATCCCGGCGAGATAGCTTCGATAGGCGTCGGCTTCAAGATTGTGTTTGCTCTCAGACTGGGACTGGCACTCGGCAAGATGAGGTCCATAGTGACAGAATGCACTGCCAGTCGGCGGTAAGGATTTCGAATTGCTGACGGACAGGGTACATGCAAGGGAACGGTCCAGCTGCCCCCGGACAAACTATCCAAAAGATGAACCTATCCATGTCGACTGAGATCACCTGCCGTGAACGGGCCTCCATTCTGCGAGACTTGCTGTCCGAAAGCCAGGACCATCTCATCTTGTGACCCATCAAGCGCTTCATTTCGGACCTGGTGACAGGAAGAAACATCGGTGCATTGTAGTATGCTGAGGTGCCGCCAAAAATCTCCGGAGCTCCACTCAGATTTCCAACACACAGGACTGAAACAGCAGCTGCGGTCGCCATTGACTAGGCCCCGTGCCGCTTCCTGCTTGTTTCTGCTGCTATGGCTTCGTGGCAGAGATCGCCAAGAACCGTCGGGGCTTGCTTCGTCCTGCATACTAAGACTGATGACACAACCATGAACCAGTACTGGTGAAGTAGCTGCACGATAAGCGATGTGTTTCAAAACGAACATGTCGTGGAGACCCGTCATGAGAAGCATGATGCCAGTTTCATGCCCGCAGCTGGCGCGCTAAGTCGGGAGTGAGTAGGTTAGATGAAACAGGAAAACAATTCAAAGCGTTCCAAGCGGAGTTCCCCGTCCGCAGACCAAGCAGCAGCAACGGCTTCGGCCTTGCCATGCTTCATGTGACCGGGATCGTGCGGAAATAGGGACGTTGAAGCGAACACGTTACTGACAATTAATTATACCTACAGTACTACTTCCCTGTCTGCTAGTCGCCAGAACGGCTTGACTGACCCCACACCAGGCTGTAAGTCGTGCACTCCGCAAACTTTGAACCATCTTCCGTTGGACACCAAGCAACTGCTTCTGTACCACTCGCAGATCGAGGCAGGCTGTGAAAGCTGACCTTGTCCTTCAAGGTGCAAAGAGAACTCAGCATGCCCTGATCAGTCTTGTGAGGATATCAGGCCTGGAGGTTTCCAGCCATAAAAGAAGCCGCTTCCTCCTCTTGAGGCCATCCCAGAGCTTGAGCTGTGAACACCTCATCTCTGGATTTGGCATCGAGATCGGGCAATGTTCACGGCTTGTGCTCAGCTCGGTACTTCCGGATGGTCTTGTGCCTCGCTGCTGCTGCTTCGTGCTGCAGATCCGGAACTCTCCTCGCTTGCATCCTGCGACTTGCAATTTCTGCCGAAGCTCTAACTCGCCCGCAGCTTGCCCGTTCCATCCTTCCTCAGCCAACCCTAAACCCCGGTCAGTGCCCAAGGATTCTTCACGGCGTCCTGCCAAACACGGCTCGAAGGCCCTGCAGGCCCGGAAGTTTGCGAGCGCCACGTCGAGGAGCACTCCTCCTCCGACCGTCCACAAACGCTTCGCTTCAAATGTTCGCAGCCAATCTCAGCCCCGCTTTAGACATCGATGCTTTCCGGGTGTCTAACAATGCTTCTTTTCCAAAAAGGGCCCGTGCTGTGCTCTTTTGCCAGCAGCTGTCTCACTACGGCCAAGGGTAGCATCGCCCACACATGAGTGCAGAAGAAGGTCTACTCGTACGATATCTGATTCCTTAGCCCTAGGCGCCGGGCCTGTTGAGACTGGGTCGGCCCTCTTCTGCTTCGTGGTGCCGACTCTGAAATTTCAGATCTGGCTTGGTCTTCCTTGCCGCTTCATGAGACAAGCTCTAACAGAGAACTTCGCAGCTTTACCAATGAACTGCATCATTCAGTCAGTCGTTTGAACATCCGCTGAAAAAAAACAGCATGCCAGGAGACTAGAAGTGAAACCCGCTTAGCTAAGTCTCCTGTAGCGCAAAAGCAGCGGCTGCCTTCAGAAGCTCCAGTGGGAGAACGTGTCCCCCAACGCGTCCCTTAAACCAGTAAGCTTTTGCCGGTGTCTCTGTAAAAGCTGCTTCCAAAACCCTCCAAGTCGGTCATCATAACTGCACAACATGGACTACCGTCGCGGAGAAGAAAGAGTTTACCAGTGGTCAACCCGACGACCCGTGTTTAAGTGATTTGCCCCACCTGCCCAAACTTAAGCGGTATCGCAAACAAAAACACAGTAGCCGTCGGAGCCAAGAGCAACAGATATCCTACGTTTAACACTTACTATCAAAATGTGACTCAGGCCAGAGCGTCATGAATAACGATGACGCTCACACAGATAACAATCAGGATGAGCAGACTGGCACTGAACACTGCGAATATTAGGAACACAAGGGCAACACAAACCCATGAGCTTTGCCATGTCTCAGCTCGGCCCCCAACCAGGTCGGAGGCTTCACTCCTGGGCTAATGCACGGGCGCATTGCCGGCCAATTCCGACATGTTGATAGAACTGGGGGGGCAAAGCCAACATGCAAGCAAGTCTCGAGCTCTCATCCCTAAGAGCGGCCTCATCCTGTGCGAGGGGCTGTGAAGTCCTAGAGCTCTGGCGGCTCTGATGTCGACTCTCACACTCGCAGGCTGGGGGGTGCAGGAATTTGGTAAGAGTTTGGAGTGCAGGATTGTTTTTTGCCTCCCGCCTGGGTAGGAGGCAAAAAAAAGTCCCACACTCCAAACTCTTACCAAAATCCTACACCCCCCAGCCTGCGGAGGATTGAGTTAACGCTGCTCTTGGTATAGGGTGTGCTCATACAAAGTATCCTCGCTACGGCTGTGTGCGGCTAGTCCGTTTTAAGATTATTGAATGGAAATCTTCTAGAAGGGTTTCCTGAGACCCTCACCCAAAGCTGCGAGCTGTGGAAGCATGGATGCATCATTCTTGTGCTGTGCATGTGGTAAACAACATACAGTTTCACGGAGAGAGAAACAAACAAAAAGGAGAGCCACAGCCAGCCTTACACGGTGTGTGACCTGGCTGTCATGCTGTTCGCCAAAAAAAAGCATGGCAGCTCCGGCTTCGCACCTGGCAACTCGCAGTGGCTATACACAAACAGTTGAAGCTGCATGGATCGATCCAGCGCCTCAGATGCCACATCGTGGCAGTACGAGGCCTGCAAAATTACGACCGAAGATTCACGACGATCTTTGCAAGCGGCAGCTGTCTTAACAGGTGCAGGGCCATCTTCCATTGCCCTCCTTGCTCACAGGCGCTGATGCCGAGACTAAGACTGACCACATTGAGGATCAGCTGTCTCGACGGCATTTCTGCCAACAGTTGCAAAGCTATCCGCCACCTCTCCCCCTTCGCACAGGCACTAATGCAAGCACTGGTGGAGATCACGTTTGGTGCAGCACCTGCTCCCGGAATCGCAGACCAAAGGTCCAGCGCCATCTTCCACTGTGAACGCCGCTCACAGGCACTGATGACTGCACTGAAGCTGACAATGTCTCGCCGTACACGTGCCAAAGGCATTTTTGCGAATAGGTGCAAGGCCAGCAGCCAATTCCCTGCCTTTTCGCAGGTGCTAATGCTGGCATTGTAGCACACATCAGTTGGTTCAACTTTCCCTGTTAGCATCTCTGCCATGATCTTCAGGGCAGCCTGCCAGTTCCCGACCCTTTCACAGGCACTGATGCTCGTGGAGTAGCTGACAACATTGGGCGTCAGCTTGGCCACGTGCATATCTGAGAGCAATCGCAAAGCAGCTTGCCACATGCCGCGCTTTTCACAGGCAGTGATGCTCGCATTATAGCTGACAACGGTTGGTGTTAACCGTGCTACGGGGATTTGAGACAAGAGATGCAAGGCCATGTGCCACTGCCCTCCCTTCTCACAAGCACTGATGCCGGCATTGAAACTGATAACGTTTGGCACAACCCTGCCGGCTTGCATCTTGGACATCAAATGCAGAGCCTCCTCCCATCTGCCACACTTCTCGCATGCACTGATGGAAGCACTGTAAGTTATCACGTTGGGAGTGGTTGCAGCTGAAGGCATCATGGATAAGATTTGTAAGGCCATCTGCCAACGCCCGCCCCTCTCGCAAGAGCTGATGCTAGCGTTGAATGTGATCTCATTCGGCGAAATCTTCGCGGCCAGCATGTCCGACAGCAAATGCAAGGCGAGCTGCCAGTGCCCAGCCTTCTGGCAAGCACTTATGCAAGAATTCACGCTTACTCGGTCCGGTAAGACTCCAGCTGCTGGCATTTCTGACAGCAGGTGGATCGCCATCTCCCATTGCCCGCCCTTCTCACAAGCACTTATGCCAGCACTCCAAGCAATCGCGTCCGGCTGGACCTCTGCCAATGACATTTGAAACAAGAGATGAAGTGCAATATGCCACTGTCCACCCTCGCATGCGCTGATGCCAGCGCTGTATGTAAACAAATTAGGTGCAGTTGTGAAATCCTCCATGTCCAAAAAAATTTGCAGCGCAGGTTGCCACTGCCGGACCTGCCTGCATGCTGTCATGGCCGAGCTAAAACAATACACGTTGGGCACTGTGTCGGCGGCTGCCATGATGGCCAGTAGTTGAAGCGCTGCCTGCCACTGCCAGGTGCGACCGCACAAAGAAATGACCTGCCGCAGCTCGCAGTCAGTCGTGAGTGCCGTGACATCCTTCTGCGTTGGATTTACGACTTTACGTCCTAAGACGGCGCCCGTCAAATCAAACGCTGCTCTCCAACCTCTCGAACTGCTCTTTGGTCCCCAACCGCAGACATAGCAGATATCGCTGCCGCACGCTCCAGCGCTACCTGCCAGCCTTTTCCACGAAAGGCACAGCTAGCTGCTGCAGGCACTTCCCAGCCAAGCTGCACCATGGCCCTCGTTCCTCGGACAATTAATTAATGGACCCACCTTTTGGAGGCAGTCTTCATGAATGGTCGCGCTGCAGGGGTACCGTTCATAAGCCGCGAAAATGTCTGCGATCAAAACCACAGCAACTCCAAATTGCTTCGACTCTTTCATGCTGTGACTTGTTCACACAGCATGTAGTACCATCTTTGAAGCCGTCACTACTATCTATATTCACCGAAAGGCAAACCCCGAACCCCAAAAGAACAGACCCTTCATCAGGATCCCTCCCGTTCCCAAAAAAGGACCCCCTGATTTACCATCACTTCCAAGGTCGCAACTGGAGAAGGGCTTGCTCGAAAGCTGTCGCTGCTCAGCTGACTTTCCTTCGGCTGGGTCATGCGGGTTTACGCTCCCACGCTCGGACTCGCCGAGTTAAAGCGTTTCCGGCGTGTTTTGTGTCCTGCATGTTCTAAGATTTGGTTTTGCTATAGGCTGAGCAGGGGTACCTGTGCTGCATAAAGGGTAAGCAGCGCATAACCTGTCTTGTGGCCTACTGCAAGCGAGACCGGTCTAGTGCCAGTCGAACATATCGAGTCAGAGCCGCAGTAGCCGTGGGAATGGTGGGCTCTAACGACTTCGTTGTTTTGTGTATCGACATCGGCTCTAGTTTCTGCCTGGCTGACATTCTACATAAAACACGAATATGATCAACAGCCTCATCCTTCGCTGCATCTTGTACTGCAATCGGTTCAGAAAACGGAGTCCCCGGACAAAGGCGCGATATCAAGGGCTCTGCAGTATTGTGCAGTTTGCGGAGGTGCAAGCGAGGGTCTACTTCCATCTCATCGAAATCGTTGTCTTCATCGACCTGCCACGCGACTGCTCGTTCTCGAATCGCTCGAGCGGCTCACGCTAAAGCCGAGGTCAGTCTTGAATAAACAGTGCAGAGGTCAGATAGGTCAGGGAAGCCCCTCCTTCGACAGTTGCACAGTGAGTGTCACTCATGGCCGTAAATTAGAGCTGTTCAGCAACGTTGCTACTGTCGCAGTGTGACGCGGCGAAACATCATTTGGCAAGTTCTTATTACCTATCTGCAAGCAGTTCATGTTTCCTAATGTTGAAATCATTTGAAATCCGGCGAAGGGGGTCTGTTCAGTCTCGTCGCAGCTATCTGTGTGGTCCACATTACACCAAACTAAGCGTCAATGCAAACACATACTTGCTCACACAGAGTTATTTATCGCCGCTATGTGTTTGCATCCTGACTGGAATGGCTTCCTCGCTTGGCCCTGCACCTTGTCTTCTCCGGTGCAGGCGGCGGCACTGGCCTGGCGGCTGCCATCCAGCTCGCTTAATTATCAAGGAGAGTCTCTGCCAGGCCGATAATTCTGGTGCTTCTGCGCAGAGCCGCACTGCCTCTGGAAGAATGAAGCCGGCGCCCGAGCCAACTTCCTCCATCGACACCTTGCACCGTCAGCTTCGCGAGTAAGGCAAATCTTCACTGGAACATGACTTTCCGTCACGGTACCGGGTCTTCTCCAGTAGCAGGTTCTGGATTGGCCGTAGTGCCGGCCGCCTGCACAAGCTGTGGCCTAGGCCTAGGCTTTGCTTATGAGCCCACCCAAACTCAGTCGCAGCACATACACGGCGTGCGGTCAGATCGAACGATGCTGAAGCTATCGTACTCCTCACTTGTTACGAGAAGCTTACAACAGCTGCCGGCCCTGCAGCTCTGAATGACTCTCCTGGTGAAAACAGAGGGATGTCCTGTTTCTGCTCTATATAAGCCCGGAAATTTGTCTACCTAGCTTCAGAACTGGGCCGTTTCATTGTTATGCAGAAGGTTGGCATCGAGCGGGCACGGCAGATTGCGGCCTGCTGAATCTGGGACTGGGTCAAACCAAACGCTTGAGGGCCGGCACGCATGAAAACATGACCAACAATCAATGCTCGATACCCTGATACATTTTGGGCATGGTACCGTTGCTCTCGTGCAAATTGACACGAACACTCTCTTCCATGGGACCTACGTAGCACTTAGTGCGTCCATTCAAGGCCTCTGCAGCAACCAAGCCCGCGCTGTCTGAGCCAACTTCTTCAGACTCTGCCGTTTGGGGCTCGCCCCCGTCCAGCGGCACCTTAAAATGCCAGCTTCGCAGGCAACATAAGTCATTGCTGTTGCTGGAGCATGACTTCCCGTCACGGCACCTCGTCTTCTGCGGCGCCCGCAGTAGTCACTGGATCTGCAGCAGCGCAAGCCGCCTGCACAGGCTGCCCACCCGGCCACCCGGCTTGTGCACATGATCTCACCAACTCAGCAGCAGCAACCTGACTTGCCGTCGAACAGGGTCCCAATGTCGAAAATTCATCGGCATCGTCCATCAAAGAAGCAAGCTTGGTACATCTCGTTACAATATTGGTACAATGCCACGCAAGGCCTCTGGAGCAACGAAGCCCGCACCGCGTGAGCCAAAGTCGTCGGACTCGACCACGCCGTCGTCCATTTGCGCCTCACAGATGTGGAGCTGACAGTAGCTTTACGGTTATGAGCGACACTCTGGGTGACAGTGGAGGAACGGTCCGTTTGCATAGCGGCGGCTAAGAGATCGGAAGGTGCTACAAAAGCTCCAGGCTTTGGCCTGCCAATGTAAGCAAGAAGCAGCACATCCAATGCATTGGGGCCCGTTAGGGAACGCTGGCATCGAGCAGCACGGCTTGTTGTGAATTGATGGGTCTGGTTCTTATCACTCACGACTGCACAGCCCCAGCGGCGCAAGCACATGAAGGCACGCATGCGTGCGCATATGACCAACAGGCAATGTTCCGTACATCGTACATCCTATGCATTTTGTCTGAAATCTCGCTCTAGTTCGCTCCTACGCCGGCACCTCGTCTTCTCCCCGGCCTGCATACGGCTCTGCATTCCACACCGGGCTCACTGCCTGCACATTGACACAAAGACTGGCTCTCTTCCATGGGACCTAGCACTTAGTGCGTCAATTCCTGTCTGATCGGTTTTTGACTTCAGTACGCTAGCTCGTGGAAGCCAGCTTGTTCAAGCTTCGGCTCAAGGCCTCTGCAGCAACCAAGCCCGCGCTGTCTGAGCCAACTTCTTCAGACTCTGCCGTTTGGGGTTCGCCCCCGTCCAGCGGCACCTTACAACGCCAGCTTCGCAGGCAACATAAGTTATTGCTGTTGCTGGAGCATGACTTCCCGTCACGGCACCTCGTCTTCTGCGTCGCCCGCAGTAGTCACTGGATCTGCAGAAGCGCAAGCCGCCTTCACAGGCTGCCCACCCGGCCACCCGGCTTGTGCACATGATCTCACCAACTCAACAGCAGCAACCCGACTTGCCGTCGAACAGGGTCCCAATGTCGAAAAATCATCGGCATCGTCCATCAAAGAAGCAAGCTTGGTACATCTCGTTACAATCTTAAGGTACAATGCCACGCAAGGCCTCTGGAGCAACGAAGCCCGCACCGCGTGAGCCAAAGTCGTCGGACTCGACCACGCCGTCGTCCATTTGCGCCTCACAGATGTGGAGCTGACAGTAGCTTTACGGTTCTGAGCGACACTCTGGGTGACTATGGAGGAACGATCTGTTTGCATAGCGGCGGCTAAGAGATCGAAAGGTGCTACAACGCTCCGTGGCTTTGGCCTGCCAAGGTAAACAAGAAGCAGCACATCCAATGCATTTGAATTGGGGCCCGTTAGGGAATGCTGGCATCGAGCAGCACGGCTTGTTGTGAATTGATGGGTCTGGTTCTTATCACTCACGACTGCACCGCCCCAGCGGCGCAAGCACATGAAGGCACGCATGCGTGCGCATATGACCAACAAGCAATGTTCCGTACATCGTACATCCTTTTGCATTTTGCCTGAAATCTCGCTCCAGTTCGCTCCTACGCCGGCGCCTCGTCTTCTCTCTGGCCTGCATACGGCTCTGCATTCCACACCGGGCTCACTGCCTGCACATTGACACAAAGACTGGCTCTCTTCCATGGGACCTAGCACTTAGTGCGTCCATTCCTGTCTGATCGGTAATTGATTTCAGTACGCTAGCTCGTGGAAGCCAGCTTGTTCAAGCTTCGGCTCAAGGCCTCTGCAGCAACCAAGCCCGCGCTGTCTGAGCCAACTTCTTCAGACTCTGCCGTTTGGGGCTCGCCCCCGTCCAGCGGCACCTTACAACGCCAGCTTCGCAGGCAACATAAGTTATTGCTGTTGCTGGAGCATGACTTCCCGTCACGGCACCTCGTCTTCTGCGTCGCCCGCAGTAGTCACTGGATCTGCAGAAGCGCAAGCCGCCTTCACAGGCTGCCCACCCGGCCACCCGGCTTGTGCACATGATCTCACCAACTCAACAGCAGCAACCCGACTTGCCGTCGAACAGGGTCCCAATGTCGAAAAATCATCGGCATCGTCCATCAAAGAAGCAAGCTTGGTACATCTCGTTACAATATTGGTACAATGCCACGCAAGGCCTCTGGAGCAACGAAGCCCGCACCGCGTGAGCCAAAGTCGTCGGACTCGACCACGCCGTCGTCCATTTGCGCCTCACAGATGTGGAGCTGACAGTAGCTTTACGGTTCTGAGCGACACTCTGGGTGACTATGGAGGAACGATCTGTTTGCATAGCGGCGGCTAAGAGATCGAAAGGTGCTACAACGCTCCGTGGCTTTGGCCTGCCAAGGTAAACAAGAAGCAGCACATCCAATGCATTTGAATTGGGGCCCGTTAGGGAATGCTGGCATCGAGCAGCACGGCTTGTTGTGAATTGATGGGTCTGGTTCTTATCACTCACGACTGCACCGCCCCAGCGGCGCAAGCACATGAAGGCACGCATGCGTGCGCATATGACCAACAAGCAATGTTCCGTACATCGTACATCCTTGTGCATTTTGCCTGAAATCTCGCTCTAGTTCGCTCCTACGCCGGCACCTCGTCTTCTCTCTGGCCTGCATACGGCTCTGCATTCCACACCGGGCTCACTGCCTGCACATTGACACGAAGACTGGCTCTCTTCCATGGGACCTAGCACTTAGTGCGTCCATTCCTGTCTGATCGGTTTTTGACTTCAGTACGCTAGCTCGTGGAAGCCAGCTTGTTCAAGCTTCGGCTCAAGGCCTCTGCAGCAACCAAGCCCGCGCTGTCTGAGCCAACTTCTTCAGACTCCGCCGTTTGGGGCTCGCCCCCGTCCAGCGGCACCTTAAAATGCCAGCTTCGCAGGCAACATAAGTCATTGCTGTTGCTGGAGCATGACTTCCCGTCACGGCACCTCGTCTTCTGCGTCGCCCGCAGTAGTCACTGGATCTGCAGCAGCGCAAGCCGCCTTCACAGGCTGCCCACCCGGCCACCCGGCTTGTGCACATGATCTCACCAACTCAACAGCAGCAACCCGACTTGCCGTCGAACAGGGTCCCAATGTCGAAAAATCATCGGCAAGGAACAATGCCACGCAAGGCCTCTGGAGCAACGAAGCCCGCACCGCGTGAGCCAAAGTCGTCGGACTCGACCACGCCGTCGTCCATTTGCGCCTCACAGATGTGGAGCTGACAGTAGCTTTACGGTTCTGAGCGACACTCTGGGTGACAGTGGAGGAACGGTCCGTTTGCATAGCGGCGGCTAAGAGATCGGAAGGTGCTACAAAAGCTCCAGGCTTTGGCCTGCCAATGTAAGCAAGAAGCAGCACATCCAATGCATTGGGGCCCGTTAGGGAATGCTGGCATCGAGCAGCACGGCTTGTTGTGAATTGATGGGTCTGGTTCTTATCACTCACGACTGCACAGCTCCAGCGGCGCAAGCACATGAAGGCACGCATGGGTGCGCATATGACCAACAAGCAATGTTCCGTACATCGTACATCCTATGCATTTTGCCTGAAATCTCGCTCCAGTTCGCTCCTACGCCGGCACCTCGTCTTCTCCCTGGCCTGCATACGGCTCTGCATTCCACACCGGGCTCACTGCCTGCACATTGACACGAAGACTGGCTCTCTTCCATGGGACCTAGCACTTAGTGCGTCAATTCCTGTCTGATCGGTTTTTGACTTCAGTACGCTAGCTCGTGGAAGCCAGCTTGTTCAAGCTTCGGCTCAAGGCCTCTGCAGCAACCAAGCCCGCGCGGTCTGAGCCAACTTCTTCAGACTCTGCCGTTTGGGGCTCGCCCAGCGGCACCTTACAACGCCAGCTTCGCAGGCAACATAAGTTATTGCTGTTGCTGGAGCATGACTTCCCGTCACGGCACCTCGTCTTCTGCGTCGCCCGCAGTAGTCACTGGATCTGCAGCAGCGCAAGCCGCCTTCACAGGCTGCCCACCCGGCCACCCGGCTTGTGCACATGATCACCAGCTCAACAGCAGAAACCCGACTTGTTGTCGAACAGGGTCCCGATGTCGAAAAACCATCGGCATCGTCTATCAAAGAAGCACGCTTCGTACATCTCGTTACAATATTGCTACAATGCCACGCAAGGCCTCTGGAGCAACGAAGCCCGCACCGCGTGAGCCAAAGTCGTCGGACTCGACCGCCTGGACCTCACCATCGTCCCTTTGCGCCTGAACCCGGCTGGCCGCAGAAGGGCATCGCCGGGGAAATTAGGCTGGAACAAGGTCAGGGTTGATCCACAGCTTCCTGCGTATGCCACGGGTCAAACCTTATTGTGAGTCCTGGCCAATGTGTCTGCAGCAAGCATGTTCTTTACTCCTACTTCACGAAGGTCGTGATGGACACAATGCAGACGCGCGCCAGGCCCAAAGGAATCCAGCACCAGCTCAAAATGCAAGCATACATGCACTGCATGCGCTGCGCATGCGATCAGATTCAAACCCACTCTGACATCGTCGTGCTTTGAGGTCGTAGTCGCTGCGCTGTGAAAACAAGTGCACTCGCAGACGGGTGGTAGGTACGAAGTGAAGGCAGCATGGCCCACCTCTTCCAGCTCTACAGGCATCTCCCCGAAGAACTGATCCGGACGTTGCGCTCCCAACAGCCTCAATGCCTCAAAACGAACTGATGCTGGAACTTTCGGACATCATGCTGCATACACTGCATACGTTCTGCACAGGCCTCTGCCGACTCAGCCTGAATCTGGTCAATCTGCTGCCGGATGGGGGATCTGCCAGAGCTGCAAGCCTGCTGTCGAGTCTGCCGATCGCATTTTCTTGGCTGTCAGGGCGCTGCTGTATGCTCTGCTTGCAGTGCCATGACAGGTCGGTGTGAAATGTGCGATTTACATCGGCTGTCCTCCGGTGACATGCAAGCCAGGAAGAACCCAGAACAGCGCGGCGAAGAATCTACAGGTGCCTGCCTGTTGTAAAGCTGCGACAGGACGAAACCGAAACACTCGGAGGACACTGAATGCCTGAATGATGGGTCCACCGACAGGCGTGATTGAGACTCAGGCATGACTCTTCATCGTCGCAGGGCGCCCATTGACCCCTTAAGAACGACTCTGGACGTGTAGCAGGTAATAGCGCAAAGCACCGGGGCAGGACAGGCTCGTGCCAAACGCAATCTATACAAGGTCAAAGTAAATCTTGTGCAGGTTCCAAAATCCTACCCTTGTTGTGGTTAAAGCATGTCAAACTTTCCATCGATTACTGGGGCAGGTTAAGGCAGTTAAGGGTGTCCCGGTGCCTCGTCTTCTCGGCGAACGTCAGGCTCGGGGTCTACCGTGATGTTGCTGGCCTGCAAAATCATGAACAAACGAGTACTGCGAAGCAACATGCAATTGCACAATTGCATCGTGTAACAACTGCCACCATGTACAAACTGCCACTTATGGTATCATTGTCTGAAGCTCAATCTTGTGAGTTGCGCATCTGCCAATGTGCTTCGCGGTCTGGCCAACAATAGTTCAGCACCAAATAGTTTCGGCAGTAGACATGCAGCTCTTGCCCTTTGAAGTCAGAAAAAAACAATTGTCCGTCCGTTCGGGCTGCCTCTTGGAGACTCTAAGCCTACGCTTTAAGTGAAAACCCCTCCCGCAGGCTTTGCTTCTGATGGCTATATGAAGATCATGAAGGTGCTATGTCTTCAGCACGACTTGCTTTTCTTGCTTCCTGCTTGTTTGAAGATGCTGCAGGAATTAAACTGGTTCTGCAACCCATACACACGATCGAGACATAATCCTGCTGCTGTTTCCAACAGCAACTACCGCAAGATCCACATCCCCCATACAGGAAAAATTGCTGATTGAGTACAGCTTTTGCTTGCAATCTTGTATTGCCGGCTGGCTCAGTCCATGCCTGAAGCGAGCGCGCACACGATGGAAGGAGTGTTTTGACACGGCCGGGAATCCCTTCCTTCCATTGGTCTAGCATTTTGCAGTTGAGGCCGGGCATCTGCCCACACTCCGTCCTCACAGCATGCGTTACAACAGCTCACATCCCGGGAAGCGCCGCTGACCCAGCACCAGATGCGGGCCCATGCATGCACGCAGTTTCTCAATCAAACACCCACCCACCCACCCACCCGCACGCGCACGCGCGCACGCGCCCACGCGCCGAGACAGACACAGACAGACACGGACACCGACAAACCGAGAAAGAGACAGAGACGGCCAAACATGCACATTCTCCACACAACCCTCCCAAGAAACTCGACCAGGGGGGCTGGCCTCCAACATTAGCTCTGGTTTTCTTCTGGGGCTCGTCTCTGGTGCAGCGCCGTGCTTTTGCTGAGCCAAGGCCTGAAACAGAGCAGCATGATGAATGCAACGGGATGTTCACTCCGTTGAACCCTAGACCCCAAAAGATCCGAGCCAATCATCAACCCAAGCATCCTCCGAAGCATCCCCTGCCTCGACAGTCTCAAACCAAGCATCAACAACAAACATCAGGCGAGCTTTGGAACAAAATAGTTGCACTGGCAGGCCAACATCGGGGCACGCACATCACGAGCAGTGACATCCGAGCACACGGTGAGGCATACAGCTAGGTTTGGCCACGCAGTCATACAACTTAGTGAGAAGCTCGATAGCCCTCAAGATTCTTATGTTGACATGCGACATGTGAATTTTGATCTCGTTCCAGCTGCTATAACAACATCTGAAGGTGTCTTACCATCAGCTTCCAGCTATATGAGCTGAACCCCCTGCCTGATCGGCGGATCTGGAACCATCTTCTTGCCCAGCATCAGAGGCTTGCTTTGACGACGAGTCTTTTATTCTGGCCTGAAGAGCCGCTGTGCGGGGCAGGTTCAATTCATTGCTTCCACTCTGACTGATCCCTTCAAACTCCGTGAGAGCTCGGAAGGAAGACTCGAGATGGGCTTGAGAGTCTCCTTGCGAGGTTCAAGCTCGATGGCAAAAGCTTGAACCGTTGCCTTTTGGCCACGACTCTGACTGTGATAATTCCCCTGCTCCAGCTAGGAAATTGCAGCCCTGCTGGTTGACAGCTACAAGCCTTTTCTGCCGAGAGTCCAGGTCCGTGGCATTAGCAACTACATGGGTGGCACCGGGCAAAGCAGGACATGATTCTGGCCATGGGCAATGCCAGGTGCTGGAGAGAAAGGGACTGTGGTGACTGTGGGCAAAGTAGAGATGCTGCCCAGCAGGTTTCCTGGAGGGCGCAGGCCTGCATATCGTGGAGGCGAGGTGTGGGGAGGCAGAAGTATCTGCGGCTCGACCCGGTGTGAGAAGGGTGGGTTGCTCAGCCAAGCTCTTGTCCTGCGCGGCGGTGTCATGGCGCTGTCGGGACGCGGTGATCTGCAGGCACCTAAAGCTGCAAAACAAGCTCCAAGGTAGTTTCATGCCGGAGAATCTGATGTCAACTCGTGTCTTGGCAACTTGCCTGCCCTAAACCTGCCGCAGCTGTGCATTGCCTCAACTCCGTGGCACAACTCACCAACACAGGCTACGAGCGGCCAGCATCAAGCAGTACAGCTGCTCAGCTACTCGCTGCCGAATCACCTGGTAGCTCCGTGACAAGCTGGGCAGGACCTGATCAGTCGAGTCACGCTCCAAGCTACAGCTCGGACACATCAACTACAGCTAGGTGGCTATCCCATACACCTTGAACCCCGGATTCGAGGCCGGTGCCTTCGTAGACCCAACGCTGCCGCGGGGACCAGATCATGTCGATTGGGGAGTCGGTCGCAACCGTTGATGGCGTGTCCAGCTGGTCCTGCGGCTGGGCTGCTACAAACCTGATACAGTCTGATAGAGCGCACGAGTAACTACAATACGCCCACTGGTCTCTGCCTCGATCGAGAAAGGCACTGTTCGGAGTCCGGCCTTGCCTTCTACCTACTCTGCACCATTGACACCTTAACTCCCTAGTCATGCTTACTCAGAAATTGAAACCACTGTCCGCGAACCAGCTCAGCAGCTCACGCGCCCAAAAGTCTTGTCTACAATTTCGAGCTCCATAACACCAAAGGAGTACTTCTTAGACCACAGATCCAGACGAGTACCCAGTGACGAGTCCTGCGACGTCAGGAGTCGGACCTCCTAGTCCCGACCCGGATACTGCTGAAGGTCCTCATATCTCCGAGTCTTCCATGGTGTCGACAGCATGGAAAGCGAACTATATGGCGCGGTGCTTGAGAGGATGGACCAGCCTTAAACCAGGCACAGTTTGCTCTGTCGTAGGATGGGGAGCAGGCGTACATGGCACAGGCAGACACCTTTAGAACACCACAGTAATTCTAGCCGAATCTAGCTCAGTTACTTGCCAAGCCAAGGCAGCTGACCAAACTCGAAGAACCCTGCTGCAGCCAAGTAGCCTGTTTCTGTTGGCTGCTGGGCGGCATCTGTGGGTCGGTACCCCGATCGCACCATACCCCTGAGACGTGACGAATAGAAAGATCTCAAGACTCAAGAGGATTGAGTCTCTAAGCTCGAGAAGGCAGAGGCATTTTCCACTGTTCCACTGCTCCACTCAATTTTTATCAGCGGTTAGAATGAAAATACCTTTATGCTTATTATTGCTTTCAAACTACCTTGGCAGTGAGACAGCATTGTATTCGCCGGCTTCGATCTGCCGCTTGTTCATCGTCGACCTACCCAGCCTGAGAATCACCCTGCCTTGCACAAGTACAGTAACACAAGGATCATTCCCAAGCAGCTGAGAAACAACATGTCACGAAGAGCCGCCACCCCGGGCTGCAGATTCGTGTCGTCCGTGACCTGCGCAGGTTTCCTGCTTGGTTTTCTCCCAGTTCTTCCTCTGCAACAGTATCGCTGGAACACGCATTGGGGCCGCAAGCACTGGGTTCCGCCCAAAGGTGGCAGGTGGTTCGTGGCAATTCAAGCAAGCGTTTAAAACGTGAACTCCGAAGCTCAGACCGAAATGCAGCACCATGAATGACCTGCGGCCCACGGCAGCCCGAGGAATCGCTGCGACTTCGCCGTGGGCCCTGAGGGCTCCCACGAGCGAGATCCTTCCAGTCGCTCCAATCGCTGGCGCAGAGCTCCTCCTGTTGCGACAAAACGACTCAGGGGCCCGCCATCCTTCAATGGCTATGCCAGTTCTTGGTGTCCCCGTGTCATCCCGCGTCGACATGAGCAAATTCAAAATGCCTTAGCCCCAACAGTGCGGGAGAACTGGCTCCGTCGTGATGTGCCGTCATCAACCTAATGACTCTCGAATAGAAGCAGCATGAAGGCGCTTCCGCACGATGGAGAACCTATTGAGAATCAACGGTGTGAAGAGGGACGGACCTACGAGATTCGCCAACTGATCGACTCGAAAACGATCCGGCATTAGAGAATTACCATCAATGCTGACAACAACGGCGACTATAGACCTGGTGGGAAGAAATCTCAAATCTTGAGAAACTAGGAAGTGGTGAGCTGCAGAGTGACACATGTGGACAAGAGCCTTGCCGGCCGCCTGTCGAAGACATGTCTGCTAGAAATGTTCGTGCTGATAGGCAGCGCATGCAGCATCAATAGAACGGCACAGCCAAAACCTTTGCATAGTTGACACGGCAGCCAGTCTTGCTCCGCTAGCCTTGTCCGCAGCCCCATCGCATGCTGCAACGTCCAAAACCATCCTGCCCTTCGACCGCTCTCTGCGCATCTCCTCTGAAGGTGGGTGCTTCCTCTGCCGACTGACGCTGCGGTCCGGGCCTGAGCTGTCAAGCTTGAACATCCCTGCCACCACGCTCAGGGCTCAGGGTTCGGCTCCAGGGTTTTAAGCTGATGATGCACAGCTCCAGAAAGGCTACGAGTGCTTGCCAGGTTGCGGATAATCCGCTGACTGTCGTCACGGTCGGGTTTGCTTGTTTTTGGGGCATCCGCCGCAGTCTAGGCGAAAGAGAGGCACGCTACGGCTATGCGGCTACGAAGCTCCCCATCACAGCCGTTGCCGGAGCTGGTGGATATTGTGTAAAACATAAAAATGGCTTCGAAACTGGGCCTTGGGGCATATGGGGCCACGACACCAATCTTCAGCTAGCAAAGGCAAATCATCGAAGCAAGAGACTCGCCCAAAAGTTACTGAGTCCTTGCTCTCCGCGTTTTCTCTGCAGCTAGGGGGCTTTCTGTAAGCTCATCCGCATGACTGAGCCGCAAGTGCCGGACAGGCACCTCTACCTAGGAGTCCAAGTTCACCGTTCTTTGAATCTGCACTGCCGCTGGAGTTCGATGTTCCTGGTTCAGGGTCGTGATGACATGATGAGTAGCTCCCCCGCTGCGGCTACGTTACATCGAAGGCCTTGGCCAACAAAATTCTGCCAGTTCTGCACGGTTTTGTTGACAGATATGCTTCGACTCAAGCTTGCAAGTGACTAAGTTTCATGGGCAACCTGATCGAAGTCGAGCTTGGTTAGTGCTTTCGATTCGAACTGCCGCCGCCTGGCTGTGTAAGTCCAAGGCACTGGCAAACGGCGTCCTCTGAACTGGACCGTGCAAAGCTGCGCCGGCACATTGATGCTGAGGAGACGGCCTTGTCTGTAAGCTGCTCGACATCCCCAGCAAATGCAAAATTTAGGTTAAGTAGATGTCAGAGAACAGCATTCGATCACTGCTCTTTGCAAACCTGCTCGTTGTGGTCCCGGTGGCACAACCGTAGCACTTCTTGGGCACGTCTGCGGCCGGATACTGGCTGAACTGTCGCGGCAGAACCATTTTGTGGTTGCTCAGTAGTTGATGGGACGATTCCTTCCAGTTGATGCTCGGGTCCCACTACCTGACTCCTTGTAGTCATTGTAGTCCGACTGGCGTGCTGGATGTGATGCTCCGTGGTGCAGGTTCGACATTCGGTGGTTATGGACAACTTCAGCGTTGGAAGCGGCTTCTGCCGGTGCCAAGCTCGAGTTTGCCGGGTGCTTGTACTCTTTGGGACTGAGCGCGTCTTCTAACTTCTAACTTTAACAATACAACGCCTGGATCGTGGCAGATGCGAGTGAACGGTTGCTCAAGGACCTAAAACGTCTTTGTGACGGGGTGCCCTGGTCTCTCGCCGAATACTCAGCGAAGTCAACTTCATCCAGGACAGTCACCTCACCGGCTCACACTCGGTCTTTGTTCGCAGCATCGGCATCTCTGGGGGAATTCTAGCTGCAACGCCAGAAACTCTTGGCAATAGAGAAGTTTCATGAGGTCCAGCGCTGCTGTGCAGCTTGTCACAACACGGCTCAACTGAGCAGGACACCCGCTGCATTCATGCTGCAGCCAAGCCACCTGCTTGCCCGGTTGTAGCCCTCGGCAGTGTCTGGCAGCTGTCACGGCATCGTCCCACTTCAGTACCATCGGGATCTAGAGCAGCCCCAACGTCTTCGAAACTCTTTCGGGTGGCGCCCTCTTCCCAACAGGTCGACAAGTCTATTGAATTTGGCTCCGGGCACTAATCTCTGCAGCTTGTGACATTTGAGAAACTTAGACCATCCAAAAGAGTCCACCTACCTACTGGCCTTGGAGCCAGACTGCGGGCGAGTTCACAGCAAGGCAACCATGATGGAGATACTTCGTGCCTGATTTCTTGTCGTATTTTGTCCGTCCATACACTGTGAAGCAATCCTGCCTCCGAGCCGGAGATGTCGTGCTTGACCTGTCAAACGTCTTGGCGACGGGTGAGTTGTTGTAGTCATGAACTGCAGCACAGCATAACTCAAAAGTGGCCTGTAATCCCAAAGCATGCACCGAAAGATGTCCAGAGCTACACAGCCAGCATGCTTAACATGCTGAGCGTCCCCCAATCCTTCAGCAACAAACCCTGGTCAAGGCACTTTTCAGCTGCATGGCAACCCTCCTCGCTGGAGATTCGATGCAGCTGGGGCTAGGAGAACTTTTGCAGCCCTGGGCCCTGTCCATTCGCCTTCCGCGGCTGCTTGAAATTACGGTCCCTTCTTAGCACTTTTATACTGCATAAACACTCGGACAAGCCCGGCAAGTCTGCCGCCATGCTGTTCACGTTAAGTGTGTTTAACAGGGTCCGGGGAAAGCGACCATACTTCAACAATTCCAGGCGAGTCGAATCCGACTCTCACAGCTCGACGTGCCGGCAAGCGATCTACCTCGGTCTCAGGATAACCAACGTTTCAGGTCATGTATTCTCATGTGGTGCTTTCTCTATATTGTGTATAGGGGAGATCTCAGATGAGTAGCGTGAGGGATCCCAGGTTCTTGGAAACGTGGCACATTTAACAAAACTCGGCGATAGGAGTACTGTCAAACACCAGGCCTGCTCTAGACTCGATGTTACTCGAGCAACCCTGCTCTCGAGAATCTGTTTCTGCTGCCGGGGGGGATATTGTCATCCGGGTCACTATCACTAACCCTCCGAAAGTCTAGCAAGCCGTGCGTGCAAGGACAGCTTTGCTGTGCTGCAACACATGCATCTCTGCCGTAAATACCTGAATCCTGCGCTATGCATCGCTACGCACCCCATGAAACGCCGGAAGCTCTGCGGTAGATCCGGCGATAATCCAGAGGGTACAACGCCTTCATGAATTCCATCTCAGTGATTCCGCCGTCCCCGTTCTCGTCGAAAGCCAGGAACAGCTCTGAAGCCTCGGAGGGCTTCATACCAATCCGCATCTTTGCCACCAGATCGCAGAACTCGTCCATCTCTAGCTCACCATTCCCGTCCTTGTCAAACTTCGAAAAGAGCCTGGGCATATGCTCGGCAGTGTACCCTAGATTGTTGAGCTTGCGGCGAGCTTGGGTGATGAGGACAATTCGATGCCTATCCGCCCAGGTCTGGGACATTGCATTACCCAACACGGAGAGAGGCATAGCCATAAAGAGGACGCTGGTCAAGCACAGCGTGCCGGCCATGATCTTTCCAGTCGGAGTGGTTGGGTTCATGTCGCAGGTTCCAACCGTCGTCACGGTCACGGTGCACAGATAGATGGAGGTACTCAAGGAATCCATAGTGTCGGGCTCAATCACATAGAAAGCACACCCAAAGACCAGCACAATCAAGCAAACCAGAAAAAGCAACAACTTCAAGGCATCCAAGGTTGTAGACAGAACATGAAACAAGAGCTGCAGCTTCTGAAATTTGCGGACCAGCTTGAGCGCCCTCAGCACAGGCACCAAACAGTACAGCATATAGTGCACTACTGCATTGTCGTCCTTGGCAGGGGTTGCAATGCCGAAAGTTCCTGGGATCCGCAACGCCGCGGGAAGAATTGCAAAAAAGTCAATGACGTTGTACGGATTCTTGACGAATGCTATCCTATCAGGTCTCCTTGTAGAGAAGAAGTGCGCCAAGAGCTCGATGAGCAAGAGGCCCTCAAAACCAAGCTGAATCGCGCCCTCAACGAACCGAGGCACCACTGGCTGGGCACTGGCCTGCCAAACAGTCAAGACGATGGCAGCTGTCACGAAGTAGTTCATGAACTTCGAGTAGAGCCACGCCGCCTGACTCGAGTCCTCGTCTTGCATGAACAAGTACAAGTCGGTAACGGTAGCCTGCCTCTTGAAAAACTCCGAGAAGGAAGCATTGCTCACCCTTTTAACTCTGCACCTGGCGGGTGGTGGGTGTTCTGGCATCTCATCATTAGGAGTCGATGTACTGCTGAAGCTCCCAGAGGACCTAGTCTCGAAAGAACTGGACGCATCTGAATTGGCTTTCTCCGTGGCATTCGGTGCATCCACCTCTGCCTGCGGTGGGTCGTCTGCGATCTCTGGCTTGTGCGGCAGGGCTGAGGCATCTGCAGGCATCAGCTCTGTCGGCTTCTCCTGGGGCGTATGTGGACTGAAGGGATGGACAGCTTCCGGTTTCGGAAACCTTACTGCCTTCGTGGTTGGGTGCGGGGTCTTCAACTCCAACGAGTCGGCCGTTCCCTGTGAGTCAGACTCTTCCGGGCCAGCTGTCTTGGAGGCCAGTCGCGGCTGGACTATTGGACTCATTCTGTCCATTGTGACTGCTGGGTGCTCCTCTTCGGAGTCCGAGTCCGGAGAGGATCTCCGGCACAGCAACCTTTTTGGGCTACGGAGGAAATGAAGTCCCTCTGTCGCACCCTTCCTCTGCAGTCCCAGGATGTGAGGCTTGGTAACGGAAAACGCCTCGCCATCGGTGACACCTGCTTGTCTGCCTCTCCAAGCTGCTAGATCTCTTTCGTAGTGCTCAAGAAGTTGGGTCTTCAAGTGCTCTGTCAACTGGTCCAAATGGAATCCAAAAGCAGAGTCCATTGAATCCATGATAGCACTCACAAGGCCGAACGAAGTGCACACAGTAGCAAAATCTGCCAAATCTTAGCGTGCCTGGTCCTAGGTTTTAGGCAGCCCCCGCATCAACAGTGAGAGTGAGAGGTGCTAGGCATGGACACAATTCCGAATATGCGCACAATTACTGCATGACTCGAGGACTTCACAAGCACTTTACCTAGCTCACGCGGGCTTGGAGGCAAACTTGCGCCGAAATGGCTGAAGGTTTAGAATGTCTTCACAAACGTCGATGCGCCGGATCTTCAGGAGGCCGTGATCCCGGACAAGCGATTTGCAACAACCGTCGTTCTCGAAATTCGCGGCGTGAACGTACACACTTCTACTTCTGTGGTGCTAAGCCGTGGCCTTCTCCAGGGTAGCAGGGACATTTGGATTGTCTGCTGTAGCATTGCACCACATCAAAGTGTTTACCATGGTCTTGACATGAACTCCGGCCATGTGGCCGTTTTCCAGCCATGGTCAAGCCCAGCCCCTGTGTGGGCGCGAACGTGCCGGATCTGCCACCTTGTGTCAGCTTCAAGGAAAAACATGAGAAATCATCTGCATGTACATGCTCCCAACCAAATTGAAAGTCATGCCATGCTGGTGGTGACAATGATCAAGCGCCATCAGCCTAAACTTGCTGCAGGTCCTGTATCTTGCTGTACTTATTATGCTTGTCAGTATCTTGCATGTTAAACTATTACGAACCGAAATTTCTTGCGGCCTATTCACACCATGCTTTGTGTAGCCCAAGCCGGCCTTTTGTCGCACCGCAGACGTCCAGTGAGGCTCCAAACCATCCTCATCGTCAAGGCCTGGAAGCACATTCGGAACAGGGCCGTGGGGATTTCCGACGGTCTCGGAGTCTCGGCTCCGCAGCCCTCACTGCTGTAGGCTGCTATCCGAGATGCCGAAGTGGGGCTCGCGCCGCTCACGGCCTCCAAGGGCTGGCAGCAGCCGCGCTTGGGGCATAAACTTCTCAGCGACCTGCAAGGATCTTCGACTCGGCGACAGTCTGCGATTCCTAAACTCCACTTCGACGCTCACACTCGCACAACCATTTAGGTTTTAAAGTTTAAATGAACGGCGAGTCGCTTTGAAGCCACATCAAGGAGGCCACTTAACGTGTGGCTTTCAAGCCACATCAGCGTGTGGTAACTCGACCGTTGTTGGGCCTTGTCTTCTGAGCCCATGTAGCGAGGATCAGGGCAGCACAGCTCGGAGAGCCGCTCCTGAACATGTGAGGCACTGACAAAGTGAGCGAGACAAGGCTCACAATGCTTGCGGCGCTGGGGAGCGGGTTAGCTGCGATGTTTAGGGGAGGCATATACTGCCTTCATGTTTCGGGCGGCTAGTGCAGGTGACATCGGGCTGCCAGTCTGGGTCTGCAACTGCACAGCTCGATAGACTAGTCAAGATCACCTCGCGGACGGCGCTGGCCGGAAGTCGAAAGGATTGCGGCACCTGCCGTGAAAGCTTTACACCAACGATATGCTGGTGTGTCTTGGCTTGTCTCTCCGGTTGAGTCTGATGTAAACCACAGCTTCTCTCACCTGGGTTCTAATCCCGATATGAACAGCCTTAAAAGCAAGGCAGGGCCGCAGGGCCGAGACTGGAGCAGGTTTCAGAGACGTTCCCCAAGCTGGGGACATACGGAGCGGCTTTCAACAACATTTGCAGTGAAAGAGACCTGGTCCACATCACATTGTCTTTCTGGCTCCGGCTGGCCCAATGCACCACTTGCATCAACATCGCATCCTCGTAACACTCGTGCGGAGCCGGTCCTGTGGTTCTTTTGGCAGCAGTTGCGCAGCTACATACTCCCCGATCAATGACAAACTCTTGAGCAACTCTTTCTTCCAGAATCACGGACAGAAATCTCAGTTGAGCTCACTGAGACCACCCAGCTGAACCCTAGTGAAACCCTCAGCCCATAGACCCTGAAGACACCAAAACAAAAGCCAAACCCTCACAACCCACATACCACCCAATGCCCAACCCCTCTTTCATTTCGACCCTCCACGAGGCCTTAATAATTGCAAGAGGGTTTTGGGGCCACATTACCATAGAATTACAATAAGAAACCTAAGGAA